TTATCCTGGTGACTGGTCAGGACAATTATGGGATCAGCGCTGGCCCTCAGAAGTAGGTGTGGAACAAGGTAACTGTTACAGTGGCTTCTATTATCCTGCACATGCTGTAGTTTGGTCACCAGTCGAAGCTGGCGCTAACGATGTCCACCTCGGTGGTTGTGCTCCTTATTATTATCCTGGTAGCCCAACCACGACCACTGCAGAAAGTGGAGGAGCTGCTCCTTCTCCTTACAACAGTGGTCCTATGATGCAGATGCAGTTGCCGGTGGGTTTTTTCCCTGGTGAACGACGAGAAGGCGCAACTATGATGAATCCTCTTTGTGCTTCCTGGGTAAACGAGAATGGAATCGTTCCGCCAGAGGAGGAGGACACCACGGCAGCAACAGCAACAGCTTCTTCCAGCACAGGGCCTGCACTTAAGGGTTTCCGAATTACATCCCGCACTAGCATCCCTGGCGCTTTTCCTAGTAGAAAAGAAGCCAGTGACGTTCTGCGGAAGGTAATTTCGTAACAGCCTCTAATGCGCCTTCCTCTACAGCAGCTAATAATACACCATCAGAACTACAAGATGGTGGAGTGCCACCACCACCACCTCCTCATCCTTCGCAGGACACCCGAGAGCAAAGAAAGGCAAACAAAAATAGGGGTCCTCGAATGCCGATGATCCCGCTACATGGGTGGAGCTTTCTCACCGGAACATGCGCGTCACTGCATAATTCTAATTATGATTAGGACGACGATAAATTTCAACCCTAAAAATTCTTTCATGTAGTTCATCTATAACTGCTCTTTTTTCAACCTACACTTTATTTTCGTATAAGTAATTTCGTTCACTTCATGTTCGTCTCCACTCTTTTCCTTTTTCTTCATGATCCAAGCAACACAATCGCATAAATCTACTCATACAGATTGTCCTTATCAACATCTTATCACCCATTTAGCCTCAAAAGGTTTTCTTCCTCCTCCTTCTCCTCCCCTTTCATACAAAGGATCATCAAAGTGGCGAATGCAACGCAGCGTGTCCATTCATGGGCGCATGCGTATTTCGAGAGTCGTGTACGTTTTGTCACCAATGCCTACCTAACTTGGATCAAGAGAGGCATGAACCAGTACCAAGACAGTTGGTCTCGATTGGGAGCTGTAGTGATTATGATGAAGTTCTTGTTGGACGTAGTTGTGCTACCTGTAGTTGATAATTGTATAGCTCCTCATGGAGTGGGTACATTCATTCATTCATTCATTCATTCATTCATTCATTCATTCTCGTGTACAAGTTTATCTGGTGCAGTTTCTACAATAGTTTAGAGGCTGTTTACACACAAGAACCTCTGATCAAGAACGCAAGTTGGTGCGTCAAGGTCAACTAAAAGAATTCGAGGTCTTGGTAACACATGGCTACAACAACATCCTCTAAGAAGTCGGATCGTGTAAGAAGTTCTGCGTGTATCAGGATTGCGACCTAGGAAAAAAGTGCGACAAGTGCCACGTCTGCGTTCCCAGTTTAACGACCCACACTTGTTAAGGATTGAAGAGTCAATGAAGCAGTCTACTCACATTTTGCTAGAAAGATGCTCAAACTCGATGAGTATGACTCAGCAGGGAATCATTTGTTTTTGCACTAAGACAGGAACTGCAGTTGCCTTATTACTGAAAGAAAGAAAGCTTACCTACAACTTCCTCTAATTTTCGCTAGCTCTCTCGCAGGAAGGCAGGCAGAGACGGCGTGAGGACTTTGATACTTGGGAAAATAGTTCTCCTTATGGCTACCAGTAGTAATTCTTTTTCTAGTGGACAACAGATCTCACGCATTCAGTTTCTACTGAACACAGTTGATGATGACTGTCGTGTATTTTATAGATTTTTGTTCTTGCAACGTTATAACCTCCAAGTCCGTGCTCTCTGCGTCTAAGAAAAGCAAGAAAGGAGCGTCTGGTCCAGGAGTGCGCGTGACCATTACTATGGCAAGAATGAGGAAGCTGCTACGTCCTATACAGAAAAAGCCTACAGGGATGCGAAAAGAGATGCCAGGTACAACGGCAAAAAAGGACACTTGAAACACGTACCAGATGGACAAGATGGCAGAAGACACGGTGGAAAGAAATCCTCGGAAGTGGAGAAAAAACCTTTTATCGCGAAAGGCACAGGCAGAAACCACATCGATAACAAAGTAGCAGAGGTTGCTGTCAAGAAAATTGTCGAGGACACAGGGATCGAGGAGTCCCAGGACCATGTCATCAAGGTCGGGAAGTCATTTCTCAGTGGCGCTGCCTCGTCTAGTTCCACCTCTTCGCCGAAGCCTACTTTAAAAGCGGACTCAACAAGCCCTATCGTCATCTCTAAGACCTCTTCAAGTGGTAGCGTGAGCACGATGGTGAGCACACTGCCTGTGAGTGGAGATGGCGATAGTGACCAAATAAGCGACGCTGCTGCGACAACTTCTACAGGAGATGTTTACGGCTATTGATTTGTGAAAATTCGTGTCTAGTACAAGTCATTTTCAATTCTCACTGTTAGTTTTCTTCTTCAGAGAGAAAGCCGAGAAAGTGAATCATATGTTGCTGACTCTGCCACTCGTATTCCAAGAAAGTGGATCATATGTTGCTGACTCTGCCACTCTGAGATTGGGATTCTGAGAAAATGAACAAGCAAGAAATGAACCCTTTTGAACGGATCTCTCTAAGATGTCATTGTGCCGGATCAGGTAGCACAAACATCAAACGGTCGTGAGAAGATCTTAACCAGCCAAGAGTTTCCAGAACTGTCTGCCGCGGAGGTGAAGACTGGTTCTAAAGCCTCGAAGCGGGCCAACATGCCTTCTGCTTCCAAGAAGAAAGCGAAACAGGCGCCACGCAATGTATGGGGTTAGAGTTGTCTTAGATATTAAGGTGAAGACTTTAGTAACTGAAACAAAATTGTGCTATATTCGTGGTTTGATCTGCAGCGATTAATAGTTTCCTCTCTATGCATGAGTGACGAGTTTTTTTTACACATCAGACAGTTTTGGAAGTAAAAGAGGAAAAGTGCGATTGTTCTTTTGAGTCAAATCGTTGTATGACAAATGTTTTAAGAAAGTCGATAAGAGATGCAAAGAAGCCATTCGGCTTCTTTATGGCATGGTGTGTCTCTATGGTCGTGGGCAACAGGTATAAAGTCATTACATGGTGACCAGTACGTACCACTTTCAGAGGATCTACCAGGAGGAAGAACATCTGCAATTTTGAAGAAGTAAGAAAGGTGCACAAAAACAATAGGACAAGAAGTGCAAGCAAGGCAGGGATAGTTGAAGATGTTCCTTTCCAAGAAGAACGACGAAGAGGCTGCCCGCCTTTTTCTTCATGGATGTTTGGGTGCGCTACTAGTTGTGTCTTTTTAGATTGGTTCAACATACGACATTCGAAAGTTGCAGAAAACAAAGTTAGAAGGCTTTCTGATTCATTTAAGCTTTACTTTCTCACTGATGACTTCTCGTGAATTTCTGAAGACGATTTTAGAAAGTTTAGCCTTTATCACATGGCTCGAATTCGATGGACCGGGTGGAAAAAAGTTGTCTTGGTTTTGGTAGACTGGTGATTCTGTTGTTTTGGTGGAAGATATATAACTCAGTCTGAAGAAGTGTACTTATTTGATATAGCTAGTGCATCTACTTCTACGCTGTTAGTTTCTAGTCGGGGAGGAGAAGAATGCAGTTTTGGAGCAAGCAGTATTATAAGGAAAAATAGGGGATCTCGAACTCTCGGAAATAACAGAAGCTAGATGAATCATAACGAGGTAGAACGATGTCATGCATGGTGTCAAAGTCGCGCCTTTTTTGTGAAGATCAATGAATGCTTATTTCTTTTCGAAGAAGCAACACTGGCTAACTATAATGTTTTTGCATCGAGGGAGACCCGAACTGATTGATTGATTGACTGATAATCCATTTGGAATTTGTTTTGGAAGATCACGCCGATGGCAATTCACTAGACCTAGAGCATCATAGGACTAACAACAGCGATCATGTGAAATCATATTATTCGGACACGACAGTGCACAACGCGTCACTTATGTACTTGTGACGCCGTAATATTATGTACCAAGGAGACCACAAGTAGTTCAATGGATTGAACTTGGAAGTCGTCGCTAACACTTACTGTTACCAAGAACAAGATTGATTTCGATTTTCGCACGAATGTGATTGCAACATGCATATCTTTTCTAAGGTAAAAACCAAAAATAAAACCATGGAGCGAGTGTTCAAAAATACGCTGCTTCTATTATACAAAGTGACTAGAGGAGTGTCTTGTCATCTTGTGCAAGAGCATTTGCATGGTCGTCGCGTGGAGACACGGTGGACGACGAAATATAGTGGTCAGGGATATAATATGCAAGAAGTTAGAGTTAGACGGTGTGATAGAAGCAGAGGACATTAGTTGAGGATAAATAAGATTTGGTAGTCCCTCTGTGGCTGCACACATTCGCTCGAGGATACAGGTCAAACTGTGCACGACGAATCAAATCCTATCCTAGCCTATAGTCCTTACTATGGGACGAAATAGTATCAGGATATCAGAACAACTAGTCTGCACAAATCATGCTATAATGAACAGCATCGTCAGAGATGCACACACACGATATCTCCATGATTCAAAAAAGACGTATGGCGGTCGTGAAGGCTCTTGAAGTGAATCATGACCTTCGAACGGAGAAAACCGGGACAAAGGTGACACGGTTGTTGAACATGCTACTCGCTGCAACTGGTGCTCTGTTGACTACTGGGTCCAACTCGTGAGCAGGCGTCGTGTTCATTCCTCACCTTCTCTTAGAATTCGGAAGTCGCGCCACGACCCCTATACCCAAGCCACGTGTGTCAATGTTGGTGGACTTATAGACAAGTAGGCACCAAAAAAAAGAAATGAAAGCGGCGCGGGACCTAGCTGAAAAAGGCCAAAAAATGATGATCATGAGAAAGGAGAATGCCTGCAGAGAAGATGAGAGTTCCGGAAAGTTACAGCACGAGAAAAAAGATACAGATACCTAGGAGCCTTAAAGTCTACGTAGGAGCAGGACAACCGAAAAAGACAATCTCCCATTTAAAAAAATGTCATCTCATCCTCAAGCTGGAGCTATTCCACAGGGAAATGTCATCCCACATGGGGCTCCTAGTGCAACGACCATACCAACGACGACGACCACAACCACCACGGCCACGACTGCAGCTGCCTCCAGTACCTCAGCTAGTGGCGCTTCTCCAGGTCCCTCACTTTTTGAGCGGTCCAAAGCCAAGCAGAGAGCGGAGTTGCCGGCAGATGTGAAGCAACTGGAAGCGGAAGAGCGGAAAGAATGGAGAGAGTGGGCTGAAGCGAGAGCTGGAGAATTGATGAGGACTTCCAATTGAGAAATTTGAGGATGATCCTCGACAGTGGGAGATCGCTCTAGTACTGCTACTGAAGAGGATGATGATATTACAGTTTCGAATTCGTTTTACATTTATGCCTGACAAGAACATTTCTTAGCTAAAGGATCATGTAGTTGTTATAAATGAGATTGATTTTTTTCCAAGAAAAACAAGATCGTGGATCGATGAGAAAAACTCGAAGAAAATGTACCGCTCCAGCACTCTGAAGCAACAACCAAGAAACACCAGTACAGACCGAAGATCTTACAAGATTAATTTTGAGCTCATTTTGAGTTCGCTGGCTGCCTGTCGTAAGACCACCTCATTTGAGGAAAGCATCTGTAACGTGGACATCATTTTTCGTGGAAGATCCTAGAAGATCGCGGGATTGAGGAAGCCATCTTTTGCATAATAGATTGTCGAAGATTTTTGCAGATCGTAAAAGATAAAGAAGCGATTTTATGATCGTCCACGATGAGAGAACGTTATTTATCTTCTTGCTATTCGATTGTTACTCGATTGTTCTGCTCATCAAAAGTGAACTACTCAGGTATCTCTCTGATTCTTTTAAATCAGAGCTCTTGAGTGAAGTTGAGCCACCTACGATGAATGAAGGAGGACATTAGAAGATGAATGTATTTTCTCTGATCAGATCTTCTCGGTTGTTGATGTTTTAGCATTAGATTTACATCAGTGAACAAAACCTGAGCTAGAGAAATAACTACTCCTTCCACGTAGCGGCTTAGATAGTTTCCAGAAGATTCAGTTGTTGTTCTATCCACAAAAAGTCACAAAAAATGCCGTCTCCTGCCAGTCAGCCGAATCAGGCGAATCAGGCGGTTGGGCAAAACGCAGCTGAGGTTCATAATCGCGTAATGTACGTAAAGCTTCCATTTGGGGACTACGACCGAAAGGCGGATACTGTGATCAAACTGATAGTACCAGAGAGGAACGAGGGTAAGCCGTTGCACTCTTTGATGAGGAAAATCGTCAAATCCTTCCCGAAGATAACAAGCTTGCTGTATGAAGATAGGGGAGAAAGGTAAAAATTCTACTTACTTAGTAAGTTCTTCATCTTTATTTTGAGAATAAGAATGAAATTGCTTATTAATTTTGAAGGTTTGTTCCTGTTTAAATCAGGGTTTTTTACCTTGTTGAGACGCAAGTAGAAGAGTCTCCAGGCTATAGTGGTATAATTCTGTTCAAAACAAAGGTATAATTCTTGAAATCAGCACAAGAATGTTGAAGATGCAAAGAAACTAGCTAGCTTCAGAGTGAATCTTGAATATCACTTTCAGGTTGATCATGACCTACAACGGTGTAGAAGTCGACCTTGAGCTTGCCTGTAAGGATCTTCCTACGACTGAGGACGTGCCGGCTATGATAGAGGTGGCGCCTGCAGAACGCCCGGCTGCTGTAGTAGAGGAGGTCGCCGCACCTGTAGTAGAGGACTCAGCAGCTGTGGTCCCGCCACGACCTGTAGTAGAGAGCTCAGCAGCTGGTGAATACGTAGAAGTTGTTCCTGGTAGTAAGCAAGCATTTCTTGGTCCAGGAAGTCAACAGCTAGTTCAAGGAAGTCAACAAGTTGTAGTCCCAGGCACTCAGGTGATACCAGAACATCAAGAAGCAGCGGGAGGGGAGCGAGAAGCCTCAGAGAAGTTAGCAGAAATAGCGGTGGGACACGCCTCAGAGAAGGTAGCAGAAATAGCGGTGGGACACGCCTCAGAGAAGTTATTAGTAGAAGGTGGGGGCGCATCCTCGATTTTCCCTCTAAATGGCGCTCCATCTCCCACTAAAGGTGTCGACGTTTCGGCAGGTCTGGTATCCGCAGTAGAGCAGGGTAAAAGTGAAGCCGCCGTAAGCGATTTCGTCAGTGCTTTGGAAGAAGACGTTGGGGGTGGTGCTGAAGAGGGTAGTAGAGTGGATAGTGGAGCTGGAGCTGAAGAGGCTGTTGTTGAGAAACAAGGTGCTGTTCTTGAAGAAAAACCTCATGGTGCGGACGAGCATGTTGACGGGGCTGTAGAAGAACAAGAAAACGATGTGCTGCAGCAGCGAGACGAGCAAGGAGTACCTCCAGATGAACATGAAATCTCCAATTCCCTAATATTGGGAGAACATGTAGACGGGGGTCCACCGCCAGCTACGATGTTGATTCCACAGGCCACTGCGGATCTTCCACCAGCGACTCCCTTCACTACGGAGGATGCTCATGCCGTGCCACAACCATCTTCGACTGCACTCATACCTCAGATGTCTCCGGAAGCTGTTCTCCCAGGAGCTACAGAAGATCTACCAGAAGATGAGGGAGAAGTAGAGGTGAATCCGTATGGAGAAGGTGCTGATGTAGAAGCTGATGCTGAAGTCGAAGCTGAAGTAGAAGCTGATGCTGAAGTGGAAGCTGAAGCTGAAGTGGAAGCTGATGCTGAGGTGGAAGCTGATGCTGAGGTGGAAGCTGATGCTGAAGTGGAAGCTGAAGTGGTTGAAGAAGTCGACAGCGCCGCAGGAGTAGATGATGAAGTCGGTAGCACAGCCGCAGTCGAACAACCTTTTGAAGCGAGTGCTGCGCCACCTCCAGCTTCTGCGGGGCCACGAGGTGGAGAGGAAGAAAAGATTGGAGAGAACGATGAGCGTGAGGATGACCCTATGGATGTCGACGAAGTGCCGGCAAATGCGGTAGAAGATGAGAATGTAGTAGAAAACATAGTAGTAGACTTAGTCAGCTCCGAAGGTGATGACGAGGACAAGGAAAATGCTGGAGGAGTGAGTACTAACAAAAGTAATAACATCAATGTTCCAGCAGAAAAAAATGAAAAACTACAAGCAGCACCAAAAAAAAACAGCAAGAAGAAGAAGAAGGCGTCTTCAAATACGCTGATTCTGAATGATGTCAACCTCGCTGAAGATGCGTTTGGAGAAGGAGATCCAGAAGATTCGAAGATGCGTTTGGGTAAGAAGAGAAAACAAGTAGACAATGAGCGGTTACTAGGTGATGAAGATCGTGAAGATCAGGATGTTGAAGATCTGGGAGACAAGCGGGAAGATGACGATGAGGGTGCTTCACGACCTCCAAGCAAGAAACAAAAGACTGCTGGACGACCAAAAGCAAAGGCAAAAAACATCAACACGACGTCGAAAAAGAAGAGTACTAAGAAAGCAGATGCAGATGCTCCAGTCCTGATGGACAGTGACGAAAATGTCGGTAGCTTGGACATGGTGGTAGCTGATCCTCTAGCCCAAGACCAGAATCGGCATTACTGTGCAGTCCATGGTTGCAAGGATTCATACGCGACGAAAACAGGCTATGCAAGTCTCGCAGGGCTGACAAAACATCTCGCTGCGAAACATCCCTCTTTTGTCGCTTGTGCCGGACAACTAGGGGCTGGAAATAGGAAAAAGAACTCTTTGGTGAGTAAAGCAAACGGCGGTCGAGGAAGTGGTGGCAACAAGGAGAATGGTAAAAACACTGGTACTAATGGAGCATCTTCTTCGTCATCCTCTTCTTCAGCGAACAACAATGCAGGAGTAGATCCTCTAGTAGGTTTCGCCTGGAGCCAAGAGGAGGTAGTCAAAAAGGGTGCTGCAAAAGGGTGGAAGGTCTTTGTTTGGTTAGCCGATACAGGTAAAGGCGACTGGAGCTGTCACTGGACCATTACCTCGAAAGATTAAGGAATCCCCTAATCCATCTCATCTATAGGGATCCCTCAAACATATGCGCCCCAATACAAGGGAGATGCTGACGCATATGCTTGAGGGATTTCCACAGGGATGAATAGGGGAGAGCTCTAAAAAGAGGGGAAGAAGTTTCAAAATTGGGGAGCCAAACTTCAGCGCAGTGTCCGAGACGAAGCTAGTGCCGAAGTTTTTGAATACTTAAACATCGAAGTTCGACCAAAGTTGTTGGGTGCTGCGAATTTGAAAAAAGCACAACTACAACAAGAGCGTGACGAAAAAAACATCAGAAAGCATGCGGAAGCTAGAAAACGACAGGTGTTGGCGGATACATTGGAGAAAGAAGGCAGTTTAGCTGCGGCAAGAGCAGAACGGCGCATGCTATTACCTGACTTGGACGTCGACGCGTTGGCGGAGGCTTTCTTGAGTCATGAAAACGCCGTTCTACAACGCTTAGCGCCAGTAGTGAAAGAACAAATGCTAAGTGGGAAAATGCTGCTCGATTGGCACACTGAGAAACGCAACCTGTTGGACAATGAACTGGTGAACAACTTTCTCGAGAGGGACAGAGAAGCCAGAGATCTGGTTCTATCAGAGTTTTTAAATGATGCGGGTGCAGCAGGAGCCGCTTCATCCTCATCTTCCAGTTCATCTTCTTCGACGACAGCAAATCAAACTACCTCTCTAGAAGTCCCTCCAAAAGCACTATCCATAGAACAACGTCTGCGCACGTGTAAGCCTCTCCCTCTCCACGGCGATGAAATGCGATTGCTTACCGCAAAAACCTCTGCTGTTCTTATTTCCTTCCTCGAAAACGAGCCGAACAATCCCTACCTCGAACCTCAGAACGGTCCTCCTGTCATGTTCCTTCTAGGAAAAGTCCGAGGTGGTGCTGTGCCTGTGACTACCACTACAACGACCTCGACGACAGTTACTGCACCTGTCCAACAAGCAGCGCCTGTAATCCGGTTTGGTCGAGCAAATAGTCCCGATACGGTCAATTGGGTGAATCACTTGCTCAATTGCTCCAACGTGGAAATCATGAAGAGCATCTCCCGGGAGCACTTTCGCGTCCAGTTTGTTCGAGGGTTAGCGGGAACTGCTAGTGAGTTTGATGGCAGGTGGATTTTGACGGACACGAGCACGAGTGGAGTCTGGATCAACGGCGTGCGTGTGAAGCAAAAGCAGCCGACCAAGCTCCAAGACCATGATGTAATCACCTTCGCGGAACCAGAAGTAACAAAGATTCATAGAAACTTCAGGTTTAGATTCAGGATCCTCTAACGGACGGTAGCTTTTCTTGATTATATCAGGTTTAAATTTAGGATTCTCTAACGGACGGTAGATTCAGGATCCTCTAACGGACGGTAGCTTTTCTTGATTATAGTACCACTTAAATAAACAGGATCCTCTAACGGACGGTAGCTTTTCTTGATGATACCACTTAAAACAAAAACATCTGAAAGAGTGTTCTTATCTTCAGGACTAAACTCTGATTTCATTTCTTTACGAGCACTCAGTACGTAGCAGAACCTAACTACTTCACTAATCACGAGGAAACAAAAGATGTACTATCAAAAATGTACGTAAGAACTGAAACGTTGAGGTAGCACTGATATGTTTCTACCAACCGAAGTCGTCACAAGAATTCAAAAACTTCCGTATCCCTGAACATCCTATGGAGAATTCGCACCCCTTCCTTGATTTAGATATTGATCGAATCACCACAACAAGTGGAAAAAGTTTCAAGACCATGACCATCTATGGTATTCCAGTGTGACGCGCTGTCTGTATACATAGGAAGAGGTGCATGCGTGTCGGCCAGCGCCACGCGATGTTGTTTTGACTGTAAAGAAAAAACGGCTGCTGTTGCGATCGAAACACAGAGTAGATAGAGTTCAGAGGGAGGCAATGGCGAAGCTTGAGGCAAAATTTATTCCGGAGCGAAACCTCCCATGACAGGTGGTTCTTCATCTGCAGAGTGTATAATCGGTTTCGTGGCTGCTCGCCATAGGAGGCACTACGTAACTGAATGGCCTCATACAAAGACTTGCATTGCTTTAAAAGAGGCGCCATGACATGACATGACCTAGCCACTTAGTGCTCAGTTTGTCGACACAGGTTCTTGTGGATATTCGTTTCACATGTGCCAGACTCGATAGTTGTTACAGCATTTTGCGCTTATAGTTTTTGTAACGTCTTCTCAAAATTATAGACGAGAAAAATGTTGGAGCAATTTGTGAAACAATTTATCGGGACCGGCTCTGCTGCTTCGGTCGATCCGGGTCTAAATGCCGAGGACGTGGACAGAGACCATGGCAGCGGTGCTGGGCCTACGACTTCAGCGTCACCTGAGCCTACGAGTTCAGCAGCTTCATCTTCGAGCGTGAACAGTATCTTCTGTGCTAGAAGTTGAGGGTTTCCGAATTGCATTCCTCACTACCATCCCTGACTCTTTTCCTAGTAGAAACAAGAGGCCAGGGATGTTCTGAAGAGTGTAACTTCGTAACCTCTAATTACATCATCCAGAAAATGATGCAAGTCCTGCCGCAGATGCCCTTGACCAGAATGATGGATCTGCTCCATTCTCTTCTTCAACACCTTCCTCCTCATCAGCACCTTCCTCCCCGTCAGAGTCAAGAAAAGAGTCATCCTTCGTCAGCGCAAAGTCAACACCGTCTAGTTCATCGAAAGCGCTAGCGAAAAGAGGGATGTCGCTAGATAATCATGGGACGATCGCTAGAGCAAGACGAAGCACTACTGCCACCTCTGCTGGGGCCTCGGCAGGGACAGGAACAAATAAATCAGGTGGCTTAACATTAACAAGTCCTCTGTTCCCCTTCGCTCCTTTCGATTCTGGCGTACTAGAGCTTATTCTGTCTCATCTCGATGTGCCCTCGCTTTCCGCGTGTTGTGCGGTTCACGCGGGCCCTCTGTCCGACGTGGCGAGGTGCCATCCGAACTGGCGCCTTTTCATTCTCCAGAACTACGGCGTCTACTATTATGGAGCCAAAATCTCTTATCATTCTCAAGTTTCTCAAGTACTTAGAAAAGAGGATCTCATCACATTTTCAAGTTTCTCAAGTAAATAGAAAGAGTCTTAACGAAGATAATAGATTTTGGCTTCATAACGATGACGATTATCTGAGAATCATAGCGCCTTTGCTAGAGGACGCGACCTTGTTGAAGTTGAGAGGGAAGCAGGATGAAGAAGATATAGGCGCTTTGGAGACTTGTTTAGGCGAGGGCGAACATAAGAAGGAGGAACAGGTTCTTGAATGAAATATGGGCTCTTTCTTTCGATGGAAATGCGTGTCGTCTTTTCGTTACATCACTCACAACTTAGCTCAGTAGATCTAGATACTGATACCTAATAAATCGCCTCAATACATCAATTTTACTTCATCCCGCATTACAGAAGATGCACGACGGTGAGGTCTGGCGCTTATTGTATGTGTACATCAAACAAACGGTGCGAAATGTTGCTGGTGGAGGCTATGTCTTGCGCCGGTTTCGAGGTAGGCTTAAATCGCGCGTCGGCGTAGCATTGAAAGCTGCGGAATTCGAAGCGGCACGTCGTGAGTGTTGGGACATGATGCTGAGTTATGAGATGCATGACCGTGATGACCAAGACCATATGGTCAGCGTTTAGATTCGTTTACCCCAGCATCATCACTCTAGTGCCCTTTTGTTCATCCCATAGAGCAGCTACAAGGGCACATATTATGCTAGTAGTACGTAGTAGTGCTTACTTACCAAGATGGGGGGGGCAGGTACAACTTATATGAATCTTCGAAGCACTCTCTAAGTAAAACAGATAGCACAAAAACCAAATGCAGTGACAACCGGTTCGACCATGGACGATAGACGCGCTCAGGACCATATTTTGTCTCTTTTCTTCTTCCTAGAGGACGAACTTCGGAGGATGCATAGGATGTTTTTAGGCCAAGTTTACGAATGAAGCCTTTTCCATCTTTAGACGACCGACCACGCATGATGCTTGTGCCACTCTGGCTTTTCAACAAGGGGAAAGACAAAGTGCCAGGAGGATCATGGTCTGCCTAGATGGAAAAGTCTCCTGTCTTCATGGGCTTTCGTCCCTTCCAGGACCAGGTGGAGAGGGCCTGCTTCTAGAGCGTCTGAACAAAATTCGCCTTGACCGTGAGCTTGAACAAGTGAGAGAGCATGATACGAACATGAACATCATACGAGCACCAGACGAAGAAGAGGCTTCCTTTGACGCTACAACAGCAGCGATTGCAGTTCTCTCCGAAGAAGAACAAAAACTTTTAGAGAAAAACCATCATCGAGACGAGGATATCATAGAACTACAGGGAGAAAACAGCAATGACACTGCTAAAAAAAGTAACTCTAGCAGCAAGAAGACTACTTCCAAAGTAGAACAGGACTCCAAAGCAGAACTCTCTTCTTCTCCGGAAGAAGAACAGGACTCCAAAGAACCCTCCAAAGAAACCCCTAAAAAAGAACCCTTGGAAGAGGTGGAGGACTACGATGATGATGCGAGACGCCACGAGTTCGTTTACTGGGATAAGGAATTAGAGAGAAAAATAGAAGCATACGTGAGGGAGAATCCCAAAGAAAGGGCTAGCATAGCACGGGAGCACATGACAGAACGCGAGATCGACAACCTCATTAAGGAATTACAAAGGCACTGGGAAACGAGGTTCCACCTGGATCAATGGAGAGCTGTCATCAACCACGGTCGCGGATCATGGACCTACTATGGGATGTTGGCCGACAAGAAACTACCTTTGGGAGCAGAGATGCATAGAAAGTACCGAGGAACAGTCGAAACCTCCGACGACGGGAAATTCGTCATTTGGGAGAACGGGAGATTTATTCAACTAGTAGACATCTTCACTGGCGCCATTGTTAAGGCCTCGTCACTTCAACTAGTAGGCATCTTTTAGCTCATCTGTAAGCTGTTTTTAAGTAGAAAAGTGGACACAGGTGAGGCAGAAGGCCACTGACTTTAGTGAGTTCTAACCTTGTGCGCACCATTGATGTTGGGCACACTTTTCGAGTGTATTTCCATCGCGCAGCTGCTGGCGAAAGCAAGTTGTATGTGTGCTTGACTGATCGAGTGGTGGGGTATGATTTGGAGGAATTGTTGGGGAGAAAGAAATCGACAGAGGAAACAGAAACTGCCACGTCTTCTACTATGAAAGAGTCCTTTCTTCTTCTTCTACAACCTTTGAACCTACACTGCAAGAGGAAGGAAGCCGAGATGCCACCATGGTTACAAGACTGCAAAGGAAGGCCATTAGAACTGGTCCTCCATCGTGATCGCTTGGCGCTTGTGGAATCTCATAGGGTAACTTTGTGGGATTGCGACAGTTTAGACTTGGTGGGAAAAATTGAGCCATACTGCAGCCCTTTGGGGGAGTACGTGCCGCCTTTTCCTGCGTTTGCGTTGAATCTTATGTGTGAGATTTGATTGTGGAAAGCTGGTAACTGGAAAATTGTCCCTGCTTCTATTTGAAAAATTGCTGTAACAATTCAAAGATCTTCCTATAGAGAACCGACAAGTCTAAGTACTAGGACTAATGGCATGTAGACGAACCCTATAATAGAAGTACTCACAACTAGACTACATATCTCTAAAAAAAGCCGTCTCGAGTTTGGGCAGGAACATCGCGCTGCCTTCGAAATACAGTGGCTTGGTCGACATGCTCTCACCTGGTGTCGTGGCACCACGTTGCCTATCGAACTTTACGCGATCGATGTTCTACTTAAGGCCAGCGCAGTTGCATCCTTATAGTATCATGATCATGCCTGCTGACCCACTCCTTTCTCAAATAGTTGGAAAAGGGAGTGGAGATGGCTTCACGGATGCGAGTGCGGCAGCGCTAATCGACCCGTTGCGAAGCTAGCAGTTTTTTACCAATCTATGTTAGTTCCAGCCAATTGGCTGCAGGTCGATGTCTGCAGGGTCACGTGGATGAAGCTGGGAACGTTGGAATACTTCCTTGTGGGGGCTTTGGACGATGCAGGCATCGTATCGCTCTGGGATACCGAAGGCCAAATGCTACTACGCTTTAACGGTGCCTCAGACCTACTAGATCGAGGCGTTCTAGTTAAGGCTAGTTTTTCACTATCCCATTCCCAAGTGGAGTATGGCATCGTGTAGATTCTCTCTTATATCAAGGGCATTTTAAGAGGAAAAAAAGGGAAGCCACTCAACGACGAAGAGGGAAAAACTAGCGCTAATCTAGATATGATCATGACGCAGGACTTCGTGGCAGTAGTAGACGATGACCTGGGAGTGCACTTTTATCGGTTGTACCTCCATCCCGAACGATCAGCGTGTCGAAACTGTGAACGTTTGGAAGGAAAGCGACCACCTCAAGACTTACCCCTTACACATGGTAGCCGCTACTTTAGTCAATACTACGGACCGGAACTGGATAAACTGAATAAGCAGATTGGAGTTGCGTCTGGGCGCGAACATAATCATGCGGGCAATGATTATATGCCGAATATGATTGACGAAAATTATGATAGCACGGGAATGGTCGTTGTGGAAGATGTAGAAGAGGAAGGAGATTCAGGTATCCGAGGTACTGAACATTATCCGAAAACAGGGACCTCAGATGTTGATCGAGCAGAGGACATGTACGATCTAGATGAACAAGAAGGTGCTAGTTTCGGCGGTAGCGGAGCAGGAAAAAAGGATGTACGCCAATTTTCGACGAAGGCAGATCAAGCGGCAACGAGTGCTGGGTCAGATGAAGAAAGCACAGCTGCCGAGTGTGAAGAAAGCGAATTTTCTACGAATTTTTCATCTGGTCAGGAGGATGTGAGTTGTAGTTCTTTTAGTTCTAGTACTGCAGGGAAAGGTAAAGGGGAATGCGAAAGGAATGGGAAGCTACCGGATGATAACAGTTTGGTAGCTTCAACTTCATCGTCTTCGAAAAGAACCAAAGACCACAGAGGGAACTCCTCGTCTGCCAACATCTGCACAAATATTCAAAGCAGGACTCCGTCTTCATCTTCTTCTTCAGCATCTCCCAAAAACAAGCACAAAAAAGAAGATCCGACGATAGGTGAAACGTTTGAAGATCATGATACCCAAGAAGAGCAAGAGCATGTTCTTGATGATAGCACTTCTTTTTCTTCTTCCAGCACAACATCCGATGATTGTCCATCTTCTTCAAAACCGGAAGGAGGTGGTCTTAACGCCGGTTCACATCTGAATGGAGCACGCTTTTGTCCTACCTGCCGACAGCATTTTACTCCTTCTGTTCCAAGGGTGCATCGCATCGGCATAGATCATTGGGATAGGGGCGGTCCTGCAATTGGCACGCCTAATGACTGCGAAGACAGTTGTTTTTTCGGAGGCTCCAGTATAATGCAAAAAGCGTTTGCGAAACGAACAGAGGGAAGGCTACTTAAGGCTCGTACTTACTCCCGTAGAAGATGCATCCTCAGGCTAAGCATGATCCAGGCAACATCCTCAGGAGCATCATCCATCTGGGCTCTTTTTCTGAGTACTCAGACGTTACTTGAAAAAAAAGCGCCCAACGATCAACATGCTCTCAAGGAAGATGCGACTCCGGTTGTATGGTCTAAGATACATTTTCTTGGGACAGGACCTAGTCCAGCTTCAAGGGAATATCCACAAAAAGGAATTTCCAAAAAAAAGCCACCCAATAGACCAGGCATGGAGTCAAAAATAGTGTTGAAACCAGCTGAATTTTACAGAGGCTTTCCCAATGTTAAGGCTTTCCGTAATCCAGCTTCCAAAGCATCTCAAACAAGGTCGTAAAGCCGTTTTCATAAGATCTGGATCTTCCAAAGGATCTCGATCTTCCAAAGCATCTCTTCAAGGGGAAAACGAGCAGGAAGATGCTCCAGAGGATGGATTTGTGCCATTTCTAACGCTGAGTTTGGGATACAACAAGTGGATGCTACATCTCTATCGGGAGCTTATGTGCCCAGCAAAGACGCAACGGAACTCTATTTATGTCTGAAGGCTTTCGAGAGCTCTTCGAATTGTATTTCTTCAATACGAATGCTTCATTATTCAACACAACAATTTCCGATGACATGCGCATGACCTTGCTCTTTCATCGGCTGATATTATCGCTTCTTCTAGGTAACAATAAATTTACAAGTTATGTAGATGTAGTCGTAGTGGTACTTGTAAAATAAAAGTTGCAAGATGAATAGGGGAACTACAAAGATGACAAGCTCTGTCTTCGTATATCTTCAGTGTCCACCCATGTTTCCCGTTGCAGTCGTTCATAGTCCCGCGACCTGTACTACGCCCCTCTCGAGACGCAGGAGGAGTTATCCAAGTTGAAGATCGTGCACTATGACGTGATACGGCATGAACACCAGGATCCGGATATCCGAAATCTCGTGTGGCAAGTAGGTTCCGAACACGATGAAAGCACACTTCCTCGTCGCTTACGGGACTACAATCGAATGGAAATATTATGGCTTTTGATTTTCTATCAATCTTGAAAAAATCCTGTTGAAGAGTCCTCTTTTCTTTCATCAGAGTGCCCCTCTCTCAAGATCGATCATGTTTTCGGTATTTAAAGTCTAAGAATACGAGGAGAACGCACGCCTGAAGAAGAAGAACGGGAACGGGGTATACGTTTTCCCGGAGGTGGAGGAGGAAACAATAATGCTGGAGGTGGCGCCAATATTAAGGCTACCGCTCAAGCATCCTAAGCATCATCTTTGTCCCTTTTTGTAATTGAAAAGTAAGCTATACTCTCAAGAATACTACTTATGACTCTCAAGGAAGATGTAGATGCCCCAACAAGGACGCACTCAGGTGGGATGCTATCGCCATATAGTTCTAACAAGTATGGAAACCGCGTAGTCATCCCTGTTTTCCGACCCGCAGATGGAGGTAATGACCCCGAGCACGCACGAAGGGAAAGAGAAGCCTGGCAAGCAGCCACTGAGAACTTCCTGAATCGACTGAGGCAAGCTGCGGCTAGAGATAGAGCAAACGCTCCAGCACCACCTCCAACAGCAACAATAACAACAAGGGAAACAACAACAGCGACGACGGGCGATACAAGAAGTGTGGTTAACTCCACCAACAACACGGGCCCTGGTGAAGATTTTAGCGGTAGTGGTGGTACTACTTCTACTTCTAGTTCTTCTTCAAGCAGCAGCAATAGCGGCGCTGCTGGTGGCTCTAGCTCGTCAAGCAGCAGCAGCGGGGCAACTGGTGCAACAATTTCCTCAACAGCCAGTAGCGGCACTACCACCAATCCAGTGACCGGAATGATTCCCACAGAGACATTGAGGCAGCTGGGATTGGCGCCGCCCGCTCCTCCTTCACAGCCGACAGTTGTATCTAAAGAGAACTTGCAGGCTATGCTTCAATCTATAGTGCAGCGTACAAACGGAAACGATAGTAGTAGCACTGGAAATAGTAGCACTACCATTTCTTTTGCTTCTGCCGCCAATGACGCTAACATCGCGACCTCCTCTGCAGTAACAAGTGCCGGCAGCGATAGCAGTAGCAGTAGTACTAACAACTCTGGTAATGCGGAGAGAAGTAACGAAAACGAAGGAAGAACCACGGTAAGCACTAACGATGGAACAACTAATAGCAACTCTCCAAACGCTCCTGCAAGTGGAAGCGCAGATTATAGCAGTTCCATTCCTAGTAATTTTCCTCCTGGGAGGACTACAGCATTAAACAGTGAAGATAATCATGAAAATGAAGGTGGACGAGGTGCGCTTTCTTCTCTAGTAGAGCCGCCTGGTGCAAATCCAAGTTCCACCTCCTCGTCAACAGTAGAACAACAGGAACAACAACCTCGTCCACCACCTACAGGAGCACAAGGAGAACAACCTCGGCCACGTCCATCAGCACCATCAGCAGCAGCAGCAGCATCAGCAGACCCCTTAGATCTCTCGCGCATACCCAACGCCAGGCTTGACTGCCCCATTTGTCGCACCGAATTCCCCGACTTCAAGATTGTTGCGCTTCCCTGTGGTCACACACTAGGCTGTAGTGCCTGTGCGGGGACAGGTTTGGCTGCCTCAGACCGCTGTCCTGTATGTCATCAGCCGTATTGTGGATTCGGGACTGTAAAACGCGGAACGCAAGTAATGTTCGGAGGAGCACCGCCTCTACGGGAGCAAACTAGTACCACACCAGCACTGCAGCAGGCAGACGGAGCTGCTGCAGGACCAGCTACTTCGGGAACTACACAGGAAAGCAGTACAACAACGCTGCAAGAACCAGCAGAGGAAAACACACAATCTGCCGCCGTACATTATGATGTGCCAGCTCCTGCGGATGCGCCAGGTGCTGGGACTAGACCTGCTGTTGAAGGAAAAGAAGTAGAAGACCCAGCACAACAAGAGGAATCAGAAGATGCTTGTGCTTCTAATGAGAACCTGGAAGAAAAGGACCTGGACTACACTTCCCCAGACGATGATGATTCTGTTAATCCAGATATTACGGGTGAGCGTGAGGTAAACATTCCAGCAGCAGAGCGAAGGCCACTGGAAGACTTTTGTTGGCCTCATATAAACTCTGATTTTGTGCGCAAAGTGAACTGGGTTCAAATTCCGCACATTGATTCCTACTTCGCGGCTTATCGGAACTACTTGAATTTATGGGAAGCGGATCCTTTTGGTTCGATAGTAGTGTAGAAAGATTGTGAGGATCATCGTCTCTGCTTTTCAAATACGTGTCGTTCTTTACTACAGTGACTAATGTCCTTCTCAAAACCGCATGATAATGTACATAATGTACAGATAATTTATCTACGATGACATGTTGTGGACCTGCATATAAATATAATATAATTCTCTCGTCTCCCTCTTTCTCTACTAACTCCCGTCTGTACCTTCCACAAATCCGGAAAGGAGTCTCTCCAGGTTTTCGATTCCGGTTCCCTGGCGACTAGACTCCGACTGCCAGCTGCAAAACATACGAAGTTTGAAGAGTGGACAGCTTTGCAGGTGGAGGAGGAATCGGACTCTCTGCTGTTTTATGATTTTCGTCCAGCTGGTTTCACATTCGATCAGTGGATCAGGCATAGAGCGGTTGGCGCTAGGAGACGAGGTTCATCGGGTGGTGGTGAAGATACTCAGTGGTTTAGTGTCAGTAAGGAGACATCTTCTTCGGCGTCTTCTCCTTCTTCCAGTTCCGCTTCCTCCTCTAAGAGAAGACGGGTGACTCTTTTTTGAAGTTTTCTATCAAATACGCGTTCATGATATGATCGGGTCTAGTTCTATAACTGTCTTTTTCTAAGTCAGGGAATGGTGATCAGCCGCTTGTACGCAACTTACAGCAATGCATCAGTATCACGCACTTTTTCTGCGTGTCACTGTCTGTGTCACAGAACAGAAGTTTGAACGCAATGCTGTTCCTCTACTGAATGTGGTCGTGTCCGCACATCAAAGCATTCGAAACTGTCTGCTAAAAATGCGCATATAAATATGTCATTGACAGTGTTCTCGTGGAGGCTTGCAAGAGCACTGTGGAGGAGAAGTAGCACTGATTGCGCGGACAGTGTCGAGAGAAAGGCAAAACTTTGTGTGAGGAGTTTTTACGACTACTTAGTACAAACGATGAGGAGCAGGAATCAAGAGAAGAGGTTCTATTGATATGCAGCTGATCATTACACATATGCTGATCATTATATGACAGCTTTTACTAGTATGTGGCTTTCGGCGTGTGAAGTGTCTGAGTGTTTTTTTTTTCTGATGTCGTAGCTAGTATCATTCACGTCAGCACAGTAAATCTTGATCTTCAAATGCACGACAGGGTAGACGAAGCTTGTAAGTATTTCTGCTCGTCAGATGTTCTTAGCAAAAACTGTCTTGAAATTATTGTTCTTTCTTAGTATTTATGGTTCTTCAACTTCATAGGTTCTTATTCTTGGGTCTTTTTGAATTTGCTCGTTTTTCAATACAGCATGCAACGGACTCGATTAAACAAGGAAATCTACAACGGTAATTACATGGTTCTCGTCAACCGCAAACACATTGGCTTATGCTAGCTTCTGGTTTACGTGTTGTAGTTCTAGGAAATATAATAAATATATTTCTTTCCGTGAGGCTAGTGTAGCTACAACTTGTTATTTTTCCCTATAGTTAGTCGGCACTTTTCCATTTTCCTGATCGAGAAGACCTTGTCTTTTACAGAAGCTTTCGCAGAAGACTTGGTTTTGGTTCCAGCGCCGCTCTTAGCGCATATTATGCCTTCGCGCTGAGTGCCCGCTGCCGACCCTCGATCTCACTAGTAAATAGCAAAGCGCATCTGCATTGCTTCATATTTTCCACTTTTTGCTGCAAAAAGCATCATTTCATCGATAGATAATGTCTATTAGAAAAGTTGTAGTTATTTTGATGCCGGCAGCTCTAATAAAGTTGTCAATGGCCTTCTAAACAAAGTGATTGATGAACGAAAGTTATAATAAATGTGAAAAGTTGTGTTTGGACAAGCAACGTAGTAGCAGTTTTACTTTTATTAGTTGGTTCTTAGTTGTGCTCAGGTATCTTCTACTCTATCAGTTGACACTGATATTCGAGTAATTGTTTTCAGGCAGTAATTCAAGGGCCGACGTCTGGTGTACGTTTTTCTTCCTTATTTGATGGTTGCATTCCAACATGTTCAAATGATGCTCCTGAATGTTTATCATTGTGTTCTCTAAAGTGTGGTTGTACGATCGGCATTCCTTGGTCAATAAAGAAAGGCATCTAACTACCCAGGTATCACGCAGCGAATTATGCGGGCACTTCAGATTTAAGTGTAAATTGAGTACTAACAAACTTGATAGGGTAGCGCGCGAGCATAATAATGATGATAATGTTAATGCTAAATAATACTGAATCATACTAAGAAATAATACTAGATAATACTAAATGATTATAATACTAACTAACACTAAATAATACTAAATGATACTAAATAATACTCAATGATACTAAAAAATAATACTAAATAATCTTCGGCTCGTTCAGAAAGTAAATTATTTTTTTTAGAAAATCTTACATACTCCACCAGCAATCACGCGATGCTTCGGATCATCGTCCTAATCGATCTGGATTCGAGATTATCGTGTACGAAAGAAAGTCTAGTTCTTAGTAGTTAGTTGACAAGTGAACCAAATCATTGCCTGCAGTTATCCCTAACTTGGTAGGTGGTTCATCTGTTTTTGAGCAAGTGATTCTTGTTATGTTGAACTTATTGTGAGTGATAGTCTATTTTTGTCTGTTTGTTTTAGTTTTGTCTCCTCCTGCATGATAGCGGTCAGGAGCATGATAGAAATCCGTTGAATCTATCGACCCTCTTGTGTGTCGTGGGAGGGAATAATCAAGTGAATTCTTCCTCAAGCAACGATTGCACACACACGGCATCCCTCCCTGTGCTAGTGTTGACACGAGGCAACGCCTTCGACCACTAAGGCGGGACAGTTTCGCCTCTCGAGCCAGACTAAGTGCCGCGCGCGGGAGCAGACTAGTACAGCAAAGAACATCAGAAGTAGGACTTCACGCATATCGTTTGTGGGACAAGATAAGACTCGAAATACGACTGAAAAGTATTGGTATTTTTCGTTTTCTTCTAGAAACGAATTTTAGTTGGCAGTAGTTTTGATTCTTCTTCGACGCCACATCGAGTATAGTACAAGTGGAAGTTGAAACCAGTGTCCTTCATATCCTGAAGAGGCCTGCCGAGCTAACACGTCAACGACTACGACGAGGTTACGAGCACGAATCCGTTGACGCACACACACTAGTTATTATAGTAGTGTACTAGTTTCTTCTCTTGGTGTTGGTAGTGGTACACCTTCAAGTTCAATCGGGAATCGGAATCTTCATCACAAGATGTTGCCGCCTTTCCTCGACGTGGAAGAGAAGGCGACGCATCGCTATGTGATGCTTAACTACCTGCGAAATGACCGACGACCGTTGCTAGATGAGCAAGGCGGGCTAGCGTACTACTTTTTTCAGGGTTTATTTTTCTTGCCCGCTGCACAGAATGAAAAATATGAACTACAACGATCGATCAACAATCGAATACAGAGACTTCGCATAATATGCTCAAATTATTTCAACCCCAACATGCAATTACGAACTCCATTCTCAATACAGGTATTGGAGCGAACCACGAAATGATGGGGACCCCAATTTCGCACAGAGCGAAGCGGAATCGCAGTATCATCCAGCACGCTTTAAAACACAGCTTTGCGATAGCAAGAAGTGCAAGTTTGCTAATGTTCCACATCTGTGCCCTTTTGCACACGGCGAAGTGGACTTGAGGAAAGAGGAATTAGCTGGGTCGTACACCTACGAAAACTGTAGCACCAGTTGTACGGTGGATGCTACTGATGGTAGGGACACGACGGAGACGACCAAAGCAACCTGTTCGCCAAGTTTTTCTGGTCTTGTCTTTCGATTCCCTCTCCACGACAGTGAGCCAGTAGAAGATGTAGTGGAGAAAGAGCGACAGACTAGTACTATCGCCGGTCCGCCAGCATCAACAGGAATTATGCAGCCTCTACTATGGACCACAAGATCGGATGGTCAACTCGCAACCGTGCCATTTCCACAACATCACGATTCTTCTAGTCTTTGTTCGCGCCCATTCAGCATGGGGATGGGTCATTTCTTGCAACATCGAGAACAAGTGCCGAACGCGGCCTGTTCAAGTATCGATGCAAAGATGACAGTTTCCGATTCGGCATCTGCCAAGTTGGGGAAGTTATGGACATGATTAAACTGTGGCTGTGCTTACTCTTTCGGAAAAATGAAGACACACACTTGTAGTTGTACATCTTACTAAGTACTAGGTTGTGATTCTAGATCTAGTACCGAAGCCGATTCTAATCACAGACTCTACCAGCAAAGTCGAAGCGGATCATGCAAGCACGACTACAGCTAGCAGTACACAGCCGAAAGTGGCGAAAAAGAGCAGGAAAAGGCGTGCAACTGAGAAAAAGACCAAGCTAGCGGAAGCCGGACAAGGGACTACACCAGCTCATGCTTCGGACCTGCACAGTGTGTCGAAAGCCAGGTTGGAGTCGACCGTGACAAAGGCGAAAGAGGCAAACAAACTGAAGCAGGATGCAGGGGCACCATCGAACATCAATGCTCAATCACAGGGACAATCAAAGCAACAGAATAAAGTTGTTGTCGTCGCATCTAAGACGAAAAACATGATATCTTCAACATCTTCTGGCTCTGCTGCCACGATAGGGAAAGCAAACCACACCAGTAGTTCCAGTTCATCGACGTCGACTAGTTTTTCTGGTTCAACTTCGTCTTATGTGAGGTATCAAAACAATGCTCATCAGCAGGATGGCAGAGCAGTTGGGGCCGACAGGAATCAGAGGCCATTCATGTCAAAGGAGTATAGTTACAGCAGATATGCGCAGAATCCGTATAGCCACAGCAATAATAGAGGACCATCGTCATTGCAGCAAACGAATACGACTTTGGCGATGTTCCTGCCTGCGGCGCTAGCGTCTTCAGCGACTAGTAGCGGTAAGGCGGCTGAAGGGCCCACGTCAGAAGGAGCGGTTGTACCTGGACAGTCTGCAACAGCGACGAGCACCTCTGTTTCCAGTCGCCAGCAAGGTGTAGGCTCCTATGAAGGTCGTGGGGCAGCAGCCGCGAGGAACAGTAGTTGTGCGGCAGGCCGCGAGAAGTCGCGGTCTTACCAGGGAGAAGGAAAGAGAACGCATAGAAGTTGTAGTTATGATAACAAAACTGCTACATCCTCGAACAGCGCCAGGGTGAATGATAGAAGAGGCAACTTCTTCAATGGAAGGTGTACGAGTCGTGAAGCGGGTGATAATCGACCTCAAGTGCTGCAAGGGCGCTCAAAATCAGTAAAGGAGAAAAACGCACATTCTAGTACATCAACAGCATCTGGCGTTATAGAAGTCCGTTCTGCGTCTTCATCGAGAGGACCTAGGAAACAAGGCACATCAAGAAGTAAAAGCTTTGCAGACTATGTTCATCCTGGAGATATAATCGACAACGAGATGAATTCTGAAGACACTGCGTCAGGTTCCATGACGAAAAGGCAGTCCAGCAGCAGTAGATCGGCTTCTTGTACTTCTAGTTCGACATCATTCATAGCGAACGAAGGAGACCGGGGGCAAAAGGAGATGAATCACAGGAAAGAAATAGGACATCTTCTCTCTCGAGGGTGGACGAACGGCGGGTGGGGTACTAGATATCAGCAACATTGCCAGAGAGGAAACGAAGGAAGATACAATAATAATACCCCTTCTAGGAGAAATAGTCGATATATGAACCAACACCATGATCAGGATGGAAATGCTGATCATGGAGATCATTCTTACCGAGGCGAGGATCAAGAATTCTCTTGTATGGGCCCACCGTGGTGGCAGGCTGATAGAGAACGTGCTTTTTTTTCAGGAGGGGAAGATAATGTCACTTCTTCGATGCACGCTCAAATCGATAGTGGTGGATCATCTTCTTCTGGCCGACAAGCACAAGGGGGTCAAAGAACGCGCAATAACGATTATCATCACCAGAGAGGAAGAGGCAGGCATGGACGACATAAGGATCACTACCACAACAACAGGAACAGATCGTTTTTGAAGTACAACAGTGACAACAACAGCGTCTACGCAGCTGGGGGTGCGGGTGGGGACTACATTGTGAATAATGCTGATCATCTGCAAAGAATAGACGAAGATCGATCCCTTCTAGTCGATGCACACGATCCTGCAGAGTACATCAATCCAGAAAACCTCCAGAACGGGGGCAATGACGACGTTGCAGCTCCTGGTGCAGCAGCTGACAATCACCTCTTAGAGAGGACCTCTACCAACGGGAGTGCACCCCTAGAGGACTTTGAGTTGTTCGACCCCTATGGAAACCGGTTGGCATCTGACACGCTTTTTCAGCTTCCGGATGGACGGATGGGCGCCTATTGTCATGCCGATGGCTTTTGCTATTCCATAGAGGATGTGATCGAACATAGTCGAATTATCTGCTGCGGTGGGAATGGATGTGCTGTTATGATTGCTGGTAGTTGTACTCTAGGATTGGGCCGCTTCTTAGGTGATCGAGTGAGGATCATGACATGAAGCGGACACATGTTGACAAGTTGTACTCTAGTCCTAGTCCAAATCGCTGGTTTTTTTATCAGTTATGAGTAGAAGAGAATTTATAGCTGCGTCTGGATCTTTCTACTGGTCTTTTAATCGTTTCTCTCTCGAGGTTAAGGTCGCAGTTGTATCTATGAAATCACAACCGAGTTTCTCCTTTCATCCCAGCCGGTAACTCCTCGGACTGCGTAAATAACTACAACGGCTCATGGGGGTGGAACGGTCAAGGCCAGCAGACGCGGAACGATTGGTGTGGAGCTATGGGGGACGCCAACCGTAATTCTTCTAGAAGAGGGGGGTGGCGACATCATGGTGGCGGAAGTAGGCAGAACAACAGATATTCATCTCCTAGCAATGGCGGTGATGTGGCGCACGGTTCGCAATTCAACCTCAATTACAATAACGACTACAACAAAAACAATTCTTCTTCTTGTCTAACAGGATGCTTTGATCTCTCCTCAACTGGTTCGATGATGAGCACGCACGACAACGTCCACTTCTGTGCTAGTCCGATGATGCAGATGCCGTCAGCGCAATCTAACAGTAGTCTAGTACAACAGGGTACAAGTAGCTTGGTAGTGCAAGATAATGGAGACGTAAATCAACAACCACTGCAAGTCTCTTCTACATCAGGAGAAACTCTGCAACCCCTTTGCACTTCTGGGAATGCTGAGAATGTCCTCGTCGGAGATAGTAGCGCCAACTCTCATCCTAGTTCTAGCTGTGCCCCCGAGAATGGTTCATCTGCAGATGGTGATATGACCCCGCCCCCACCACCGCCGCCAATAGACCTATTGCCAGGAGGAGCGACGGAGATGACCTTCTGGCCGGCATCGTCGAATGGTTCATCTGTTCCTTTCTCTGCAAACTGCAATGATATGATGGGAGCTCCTCCTGGACGGATCCTTCCTCGTAGCTGTCCTTTCCCAGCGACGCAGATGCAGCAGCAGACAACTAGTTCGAGCTCATTCTTCTGCCCAACACAAATGAACCCTCAAGACATGCTGACAATGCCGTCTATGTGCAACATTGGATCACAACAAGGAGGACAGTCGCAGTTGATAGACGGACAGAGTCTGTTGAGCCAGCTACAGCAGCCACAACTGGCCACTAGTGGAGAGGCTGGAGGCCAGTTTCCATTCCCGCAGCAAGATTCTACTTCGCAATTTGGTACTACAGGAGCGTCCATATTGCGTGTCCATTCCGTTGTAAGCGTAGGCTTCCAGGGTATGTCTAGTACCGCATGTTGTACGAAGTCACGCTCCAGAGTTAAGGACACAAATAGAGAAAAACTTAGGCTTTCACTTTTTTCATTAGGTTGCTCAGGACGAAAGTAACCACCAACTCTAAAAACATAACGGGGACCTGTTCTTTTGACGGGAGCTCATCTTTGTGTGGAGGATTCAGAAGCGGTAGCGGCAGATCGAGCAAGCGCAGCGCGAGCAGCGGTCGCAGAGTCCTCTCACATGGTGATAAGACAAGAACGTCTGCGGCCTGTGTCTCAAAGCAGTCGAGTACAGACTGCAGGGCAGACGATCGCCGGCAGACGACGCTAGTGGTGTGGCCCTTGCCAGCTGACTCCGATCGAGATTCGTGGGCAGAGCTTCTGGCGGAATACAAAGACGTGCCGCAAAAATACGACTTCATCCACGTTGCGCCTTTTGCTGTACTAGCGATTACACTTTTTTTCGTTATGCCATTCTATTGGCTTTTTTCTTGAAGCGCGCCTGGGGGAGCTGTGGGCAGCTTCAAAGCAAAACTGATCAAGCAGAATGGCCGGCACGCACTGAATTAAGTAGCAGACAAGGCGGCACTGAATGTAGTAGCATGCGCTACTTTTACAGCATGGGGGTGCATTTTGAACCGGTTGGGGGGGTGCGATGTTCGTGCGCTGATGATGATAGCTGACGGCTTAGACGGCCAAAGGAAAGCGCTACGGCGTGGGGGATTAGTCGACGCCACCGTGGTGTGGGACGCATGGCCGCGGCGCTCTTGTCTTACCTTTTCTCACGCGCAGGCACTCGCGAAGTGCTGGGGGCTCTATTCTCGCTGCCCGCAAATTTGCCGAATATCTAATACGCGGGCGGGGTGAATGCCTTGCGGCTTTGGGGTGGGATTCTCGTGGACGCCGGTCGGTGCCGCTTCGCTACCATACCTGAGGCGGGGGCGCCGCCGCTTGGCTGGAGACGTCTCGGAAACCTGAGAGCCAGGAAGAACCAACAACAGCAGCCAGGAAGGAGCCTGGGCGAAGGTGGCGCAGCCGTGAGAGACTCCGGCGAGGGTTCAGGCCTACCCTCCGGGGCTGCGGCGGCGGGGTCTTGTTGTGTAATAGATCTCCAGGGATTCACTAGCAAAAGACGGCAAGGAATATGATCGGGAGAAGATAGCGGGGCAGCTGATAATAACAACCTGGGGCACAAAGCCCCAGAAAAGCTTGCCGGGCATTGGTGGCGAGGCGGGTGGTACGTCATGAGCGGGGCGCGCTGGGTCCTTACTTTCCTCTGCTTCCCTCCCCTTCCCCCGGGATTATGAAGAGAATAGATACCGGAAGCAAGAAAACTAAACGGTGAGAAGAAGAGGCAGAGCCACTAGCACCACAGCCCCACGGGTGCCCATTGGCTGCCCCATCCTCGAGGTGCCGGGCGGGTTTGTGTCGTGTGGAGTAGTGGCACCCCTTGGCCATGCTTTTGCATTGCTTTGCTTTGTGTTATTTTGCTTCCCCCTCTCTGTCTCTGTCCAAGCAACTTGCCGGCAAGGTGGCTGTGGGTGCAGCACGTTCATCGCAGGCCCGAGACATCACTCATCGCCCCAAAGGTCACAGGCTTACGCGCAGCCTGTCAGGGCGCGAGAGAGGTGTGGCATCGGCCCGCGGATGCATGAACGAGAAAGGAGGGCCCGCGCTGATTCTTTTCGGGTTCCATTCGCTCTTGTATGTCTTGTCTTCCTTCTTTGGTTTGTTGGCATCTTGGTGCCAGTGCGTCGCTCTGGCTTAGTGCGGCTGATGGCCGTGCGATTGTTTGTTTCTTTTCTCTACCCACGAACAGTGCCCGGAATGTCGGGCGCCATAGCGTGGGGCCTGCGCATAGTTGTGGCCACGCTGGAGCACTTCTGAGCAGCGTTACACGTAGCCGCTAGCATTCTTTTGGCCGCGCAGGTGGGTGCGTGTGGGCGGTGTTTGGTCTTCCTTTCGATTCCGTAACGCTATCGCCGGGCATAGCTTGGGTGCCTGGACTTGGTACCTGGGCACTTGGACCAAATACGCTGGGAGAATAAAGGAGGTGAACACGGCGCGCACGCATCGGCGCGCTAGGCCTCTCAGGAATGGACGAGGTGACTCCCTGCAAGTCGATGGCTGACGCGATCGCACCGGGGGCGAGCCTGCGCGGATTTCTCCACCCGCGAGGGGTTCCCGCTTCCAGGGCCACTGCTGGGCGCCTTGGCTGGAAAGCTGCGCGGAGTCGACAGAGCAGAGCCGGGGAAGAGTCTGATGCTGGGCATCTGGGACCGTCTTCAGCGCACTGACAGACTGCGAAGGCCAAGCACATGCAACGCGTGTTGGCCGTCTTGTAATTAGCGACTTGCATGCTGCGGGTGTGTATCTATATTCTGAGGCTGGGCCTTTTCTGTTATTGACATCTGAGAGCGCCACTGCTATGAGTTCAAGGAACGGCCGAACTCGAAGATCAGGCGTTGTTTTATGATTTGCTGGCAATTGCTAGACGAGAGCCAACGCGGCGGGCGTGGATTGATAAAAACGCGGGAGAGTGTAGCCCTGTAATCGAGGGGCCCCACGCTGGGCCTCTCCTCCGACGCGATGGCGTCCATCCTCTGCAAGCGTATCCATGACCGGCCCCACATCTTCACGCAAGTGGAGGCGCGCGACCACTCCGCTGGGGTAATGCGTGAGATCTGGCAAGACAAGGGATTAACAGAAGAGGGCCCCCGTGTCTCAACAGATGCGACAAGTAAACTGATGCACTCGGCAGAGCAAGCGCGTTTTATCTATAGCGTACACATGATTTGACTGGAGCAGGAGCAGCTATCTAAGTGATCAATGTGCTCGCGGTCAGTGTTAGGCTAGTCAACGTGAGTCTTTCCCGCTGCTTCGCATAAGCTGCGCAGGAAACTCGCGCGTCCCCATGGTCTCTACTAGCGCGGCGGCCTCCTTGAGGTGCGAGCACCTACCCCCTACTACACTGACCGCCTGGAGTCGTGCGGGTGGGACGCTATGGGCTGTAGCGTCTCCTTCTTAAACCTCCGGAATTTAATACTACGCGTTTGTCCTCTTTTGCGCCTCTTGTGCGTCCTCGGCCTTGTGCGTTTGATGCGCGTGTGAGATGAGCGACGCTAGTGTTGGCGCTCACCTGTTCAACGTGCTCAACAAGATCAAGATCATGGGGTTTCTGGAACAACTTACTTTCTATACATACATCTTTCTTTTCTCTGCTTGTTTTTTGTCGTGTTTCTTCTTCTAGGTAGAATGCTAGCACCTAGTTTTCACCTCTACAAACTTAGGCTTATCCCATGCAACAATGCTAGCGCCAGAATTTCACATCATAACGGGAATTTTTTTTTTGATCAATTGATTGATCGGAATATTCAGCATCTCGTCCAGGTATGTTCTTCTGTTGTGTGTGAGTTAGTCTTATTGCAGTTTTTTCTACGTTCCTTGGCTGTTACTTCAAGTAGAAAGATCGTCCATCGGAATAGTGTGCTGATTCTTAAAATACAAAGGTACCCACGACAACTACGGCTCCTTGGACGAGGCGGTTAATTCGCGTAAAGCCGTCCCAGAATGAAGCTACCGAGCTCGGTGGATTCGTCAATTTTCAAAAAAGTGACGATGCTGAGGATTTCATGGACGCTATATTACGGAAAACAGCGATGATTAAGGCTCAATAGAATTCATTTCTACAAGGCCTTTCTCCCTATTTCCTTCTTGGAGTCGGGAAAAATGTAGGCAAAAAATGAATCGTTTTGAGCTCTAAGATGAATTGTACTTGGGCAAAGCCGCAAGGGATCGCAGCCAACTTCTACTCGCTCATGGCATCAGCAGCCGCCACAGCAAATCGAAATGAGACCACTGGTATAGAGCTGATACTGGAGTGATGAAAATCAATGTTTTTTCGTTTCGTAGTCGTTATACCCCGCGAATGGGTACATCAATAAAAAATCAGTCGATCTGTGAGTACTTCTGTATGTCTCTCAATCTTTTTACAGCAGCATGATGAAGAAAGTCGCGTTTCTTACAGAGGTGGCACGTAATCATTCAATCGATCGTGTGAAGGATAGCTCTTGAGTCCGTGCAATGAAAAACTAGAGCAAAAACAGATACTACCAACTCTCGTGTGCCACTGTGGATCTTCCATGCGGAAAATGCATCTGCTACTGAGCGCATCGAAAACTATCTTGCGCAGAACGTCCTTCTGAATTTGGTAGAGGGACGTGATTACGAAATTCAGCGGAATAAAACTGAAGAATATGGAGCTTCTTCGCCTCCTGCAAGTACAACTACTAGTGTAGGACAAAATGAGGTGTCGGAAAAAGAAACACCCATTCTAGGAAATCAAGGCGCTGATCATACACCAGAATCGCGAGAAGAGGCACATCAAGTAGGACCACAAGAAGAAAAGAGTGCAGGTAAAGGAAACGGGGAAGAAAAGCAGGCTGTGACAATAGTTGACATAGACGCACCGCCGCAGTCAAAAGCGGCTTTGGACGCGCATGAAAATTCACCAACAGAAGAAAAGACACCAGTCGAGGAAGCAAGAGCAGTAATACCTGCTCCAGTGGTGGATGAGGCCGCGCTAATGAATCATGATAAAGAGGGCACTCCGACTCCAGCAGTTGAAGACGGCGACGCCGTTCTACCTCTAGGACAGCTGCAGACTAGAGAATCGCCAAGGCCACGAAAAGTTGAACGTCACAAGTCTGGTTTGTCTACAGTGGCGCCACTGTCTGAGCCTTCTTCTTCAGGATCGTCACGGGAGTCTCCGGATGATGAGGACACGCAGAATGATGGGCTTTGTTTGCCGCGACCAGACAGAGGACAGCTCCTACTAGCTGGTAGTTCATCTGCGACGTTGGCTATGGGACCTTGTTCTAGTAAAGAAGCACCAAGTTGTTGTACTAGGCCTGCAAACTTTGAAGATTTACCGACAGTGAGCGTATCCTCTCCAAGACAACAAGTACAAGTAGGTCGAGCTCTAGGTTCAGGAGCTCCTTCATACGTCTTTCCGACTTACAACACTTCTCAACAAGGCTCCTGTTCATACGACCAAATATGTGGACAAGAATTCAATGGCCGCGCGTCCAATGGAGCCTACAATCCGCTCCCCCAGCAGCAACAAGTACTAGTACCGACGCAACAACAACTACTGCCATCAGCATGCAGTCAGGAAGTAGCTGTAACGTCCTCTGCATTTGTCCTCCAAGAACAGCAGTTGTGTGCATCATCCCCAGTGGGCAGCCTAGAGGGCAACGTTCTTCCTCAAGTTCCTCAACAGGTGGGAGACGAAAAAGCTCAACAAGTAGAGAAGAAACAAGAGCAAAAGCCAAAGGACGACCATCTCCAGTTGCCAACGACATCAACTAAGGATCATGTAGCTCTTCTTCCAGAACTACAACAATTATGGTCAGCTTTTCCTTTTTTCCATCATTCTCGGTATCTAGGTCCCCTTTTCCCTTGTATTTTCGTGAAATACAAGGTAAAAGGGGTCAAGATGAGGGGGCCGAGGTGCAATATAGCAGACGCTAAAACAAGATCATCTTGCGGAAGCACCGACAGAGCGTACAGACAGTTGCGGGGAGCAGGGGATGCTACGCACGGTGTCGGAGATTGTGTTGCCCTCTTGGTGGGTGCTCTCGAGGGAACAACATCCCACGAGTTGTCAAGATGACATCCAAAAGGACGAGAGGCGTAGGGCGAGATCGACGACGTCATAACTACGTCGGCTAGGGACACGGTCATGATTGCCATTCAATTGAGTACACATATTTATATATATGTACTAGCGTGTAGCCCTTCAAAGAATAAATATGTACTTTTTATCTAAAAGGTGGCCTAGCTATCTTTCTTGCTGGAATTTCTTTGTGAAGATTTCTTTCTTGTAGAATTTTCCTGTACCACTATTGATGGTCCTCTTCTCTTTCTTATAAAAAATGTTCTTTTCTTGAATTTTTCCGACTTTTGTTATTAAAGTCAAGCTAAAACGGTCGCATTTATGAGTTTAATTGATTCCTACAATTTCCTCATATCCCGTTTAGTACCAGTTGCGTTCATCCCTCCTTGGTTTCCCCTATGATTTTTTCTTTCTTAGCACTTTCAGTCGAAGTAGTATATCATGATTTTCTTTTGTGCTCGTCGATGCATTGCAAGGTTGATGCAAGGTTAATTGAGGTGATAAGTCTCGTTCTTATGAAATACAGCCCCCCTCAGAGAAAAATAGCTTTCAGTCAGGCAAGGTGGGAAGATTTTTCTTAATGAATTAGAATTATCTCGAAGCCGTTTTGATAGCTGCAAAACAGTCGTTAGTCACAAATTTCAAGACGATTGTGATAGGATTTAACGAAGAGAAGAACACGACGTAATTATAGATCCTCTTACTAGGTTCACCTTTTTTACGTACAGATTTCAAGACAAGACAAAACTGGTTCCTGTCCCCCGACCAGGCTTTGCGCTTCCTCTTACCATCCTTCGGGATCACATCAGGAACTGTTTTGTCTTGCCGAAGGTTGAGAATAACCTTTTGCGACATATTGATGATGACAATGACAACAAACTCGAGATGATGGCAAGAAAAGCTATTACTAGACCTCTAGGAAGAACGAATGGGATCAGGATGTAGTTGTAGAAAATTGGCAAAAATGAAAAATACTGTTCTTATACATAGGAGAATGAGTCATAATATTTATAGAACTAGTAGCACACAAAGCAGCACAAGTCAAAGGTTTCTTTGTAGCAAGCTTTTTTTCTACTACAGGTTCTCAAACTGAAGTCAAGTAGTGTTTTTGCCACAGAAAGACGGCTAGTACTAGTAACCTAAAGAGGAAGATGAAAGATGGGTAGGTTGAAAATGATTGATTAGTTGACGCTGCCGCATCTGTTCTGCGTTCTTACGTAGCGCATATTATATCGGTCATGCAGCCTAGCGGGGATTACAGGGGGTGATAGATCCGAAGAATGTAGTTGAGGATTGATTAAGACGTTGCAGTCCTTCTACGGCTGCGTTAATCCGCTCGAGTATGCAGGTAAAACTGTGGACGGCGGACTGAATCCTAGCCCTAATCCTAACCGTTATGTGTGGTAGTGTTTTTGCAACAAAAAGACGGCTACTAGTAACCGTCTTTTCATGTCAAGTACCACATGCATTCAATTATATCTAGCTATTGCTATTGCTAGAAGTAAATCTTAAGATTATCATGAGGCTTCCACCTCTGGTCTTTCTTTTTGCTAGTTAGGTCGACTCCACCACAATTATGATGAGGTTCGCAGATGAACACCTTCAACTCATGCTTTCAGAGGAGCACTAAGCTCAAAAGGAAATTATATGTTCTTGCGACAGACTCAGACGAAGAGTGTGTGAGCACACAGCATATTAGACTCCACTGGTCAAACAACATCAAAATTATTTCTTCTCGGACGATGGTGTTTTCAGTTTTGATTTTTGTGCAGGGAAATAGTGTTTAGAAGTTTGCATCGTGATGAGAAGATACTGTCCCTATCCTCTACGCAATAGAGCCCTTGTCTCGTCTCCTTGGTAGTGGAGACGGACTATCAACAGAGGCGCAAGGGTGGCGATTGCAGAGTAGGTTTCCTTGCTGCTCAAAGTTGAAATTTGACATACTTATAGATTTGAAGGTGAACTGAATCATGGAGGTCTCCGTAGTACTATAGGAGAAAAACCAGGAGCAGTCCTTAACTTGATTGTAAACCTTGATTTTCTGCTGGAACCATCTTCACCGTCTGAGTATAACTATAAATATATAATGTAGAAACAAGTAATTCGATTGTTCTGAGTTCTTATCTTCTTCTTAACTAGTAGGTACTGGAGGTACCGTGAATGTGAAAGAATGTCTTTAAGATCTCATTCTCGTCAAAGCTATGGCGAAGAAATAGCATCCAGTTGCTTGTGACACACGATTTTTATAAAAACCGATTTTTCTTAACCACATGAGAAGTGAGTCCATGAGCTTCCATCTGAACATGAAGGCCTGCAGCGAGGACCGTCTTCTAGGAGGTGCTGTCTGAAATAGACGTCCACGATTCTTCTGAACTACGTTGATTTGAAAGCAAAAAAAAAAGGTGAGAGGACGAGAGGAAGAAGAGGGAGAGGGCAAGAGAGGTGTCGTGGACAAGATCGGTCAGCTCAGTAGAGAGAAAGGCGAATGAGCTTGGGTAGTTCCTGGAGCCTAAAAAACTGTTTCAGTTGCTGTGTTGAATCTGCTTAAGTACTATGATGAAGAAATAAATGAACGAAAGCGAATATCCTCTCCCTCGCCGCCCTTTGTGATTATGCTGTTAATAATCTTATAGTGGAGTTTTTGTGTTATAGACAGCTTGTGAAAGACCGGTAAAAACAATTTCATTAGTTGAACGAGTTAATTAATTGTTTGAAAGGGCGGTGGCATATAGTCCTAACGCAAAAAGAAAAAAACCTACGGTCGTCAAGAGTGACGACATCAGGGACACACACATGACATAAGATGTCGTGGTCTACTTCCTCGTCCGACCACGGTGGAGGCATGAGGGACCGGGGCAGCGCAGATGAGGGGGACAGCACAGACGAGGAGCCTTTACTCCCAGACACTCCCGCAGATGGAACCCCAGTCGATAATCCGAGGACAAGTGGAGGGCTAACATCGCCTTCAACAAAACGGTTCCTACAAGATGGCACGCGACGAGTGGGGAAAGGCGTTATGTTGTAGTTGTTTCTACCTTCTTTTTAGCATCCTCAGGTCGTTTAGTCTGTTGAGTAAGTGAGTCTTCTACTTCAGGAGCTGAGCAATTCTTCTGAACCACATCCCCAAACTGAAAAAGTTGACGCCTGCATCTGGTAGACAGGACTTGCACCACTAGACAGGACCTAAACTACTCATGACCATAACCAACCTGAACTACGACGACGCGTCCTCCCTCTCTCTCCACTCCTTCTGAAAGAAATCTCTCCCTCCACTCTTTCTAATACCAAGATCCATCTCCAACCAGCACAGCCTGACGATGCAAAAGGCGGCTTTTTGCCCATTTTCGGAGGAGAACTACGGTGGAAATTCTTGGTAAAGGCCTTCATTATTTCCGCTATTTCCGCGTCCGCGTGGTTTCTTATAGTAGAGCATGCGCAAGGACGTGGACCGCTTTTGTCCGCTGAGGTTGAGAATGGTTTGCGAGAATGTTACGACATCTGGAGGTCAATGTAGTTACTCTTGTGGCAGATAAGAAAATACGAATGCCTGAATAGATCAAGGAAGACCCACGATCTTGATCTTTCTATCCCTCTACAACTGAAACGTGAGGTGGAAGTATTCACTCTAGTTACCGGTTAGACAGATGATATTTTTGGGCCTGACGGACTGGGAAGATTAATTACTGAGACCAAATTTAGATTTAGTACGTAACTAAATCCTTGCGTCATGAATCTCACTCTTGCATTTACTGCTCTAAGCAATGTCGTTTGTCCAGACGAGTAGACGAGGAGAGTCGTCAAATGAGGAAGAGTTATGAGTGAAATCCATCCCTGCATGTAATTAAAGATGCTATACCGAGTGATGAATGGGTATTGTTTAGTCTCCAAAATAGTATATCTATGTGCGAATATGTGAGACTCATGCCATGCCATGCCGTGAATGGATACATCAGTCAATCAATCAATCAATCAATCAATCAGAAAATCTTGGTTTCCCTGTTTTTAAAAGGAAAACTACCGGAATCCAACAACTTGTTCCCGAGCAACGTCTTGGTCCTCCCGTTTATTTTCAAGAGGGAATAATTGAACGGGGACTGACAAAGATGCACCTTTTTTTGGAATTTTCTGTAGGTCTAAAAGAGAAACCAGAGGATAGGCAAGCGCGGGAGGACAAAATAAAGGAGGATATAAACGCATTGGTAGAAGCAGACCCGGAGAAGCAAAATTACGAACAACTGTTTTTTATTAGTGCACTGTAATAGAAGCAAAGGTTTGCACACTCACTCCATGTTCTAGCGGTTTGGATTTAGTAACATAGGTACCTCCCCATTCGTAAACGACTAAGAACCCTAGTAAGTGTAAGCCCTAGTAGGGTCCCCGCTATCCCTTCCCCTTCGCCAGCCTAGAAGTATAAATTATCTTCTAAACTTTTGTTTGGATAGACATTAGGAGACGACCACTTTTGCCAGAGGACACAGATCCGTTAGTACTGGAAGCCTACAAAGACGCGGAAGCCTTCCATTATGGTTTTGGACTTTAATTTGATAGCTTTTTATTTACGCTCGTTTTTGGTAAAGTAAAAGTTTATTCTTGTTATTTTTTCAAACACAAGAGTGAAAGGCACCAGAATTCAAGATCATGATCACCGATGAAGGCTCGTCTGATTCCACCAAGATACTCGCGTCATCGCAATAATTATATGTCGGGTATTAACGAACCCCCTGGCGTATTGGGAACGTCCTTCCTATAATTGTAAGTCAACGTCGTGACTACACACTCGTCGAAGTTACTTATACCTAAAGACTTCTCAGTTAAATTTTTCCAGGCTTCTTGTTTGAGACTCATACTAGTACTATCTATCATCCTGAATAGCTTTTTTGAAGCGCCTTCTCTTCTAATACCTCAAATGCTTACACGAGTTCTTTTATCGGGAGAACGAGAATGGAGGTGAGTCGAAACCTATAGGGATGCGTGTGGATACGGACGGGGACGGAGATGACGGGGGACAGTGGAATTGTCAGCCGACATATGACAAGAAAGTTAAGACTTTGATGCCTTAGCTTTTCCCTATCATATGTCTTAATAGCTTTTCCCTCATTTCCAACCTAGGTTAGTCCCTCCAATCAACATGTGTCTCCTTGAAAGGGGGCCAATCACTAAAGTAAGGCTGCTCCTGTGTAGTCTTGCCATTCTTGCAAACGGAGCAACTTTCTCTGAACATCGACGAGGAGTAAAATTTATCTAAATTTGATGAATTTTTTTCCTCTAGTGCGCCGAAAGGACCACGGCTCAGAAGGAATCTTCTTATCTTGACACCGCCTTGTGATCCCCTCCGCATTGTGATCCCCTGTTAGTAGTGTCTCTTCAAAGCTTATCAACCCTCAAAAATAGACGCTTTTTCTGACTAAAGAGAATGATGAGCACTTCGTTCTAGAGGAAAGGCTCTTAGACTCTTCCAACAGCCTATTTCACTCTTTCACTCTTCCATGTCTTAGACCTATTTCACTCTTAGACCCTCTCGCTCTTCCATCTCTTCATCTAGTTCCAACCATCTCTTCTATGTATGTATCTCTTCTTCTATGTATAATCTCTTCTTCTAATTCTCCCAAGGCTAAAATAAGCGACGCGCTTGTCTGTCAGAAGGGATGGGAGTTCGCGACCCTCTTGGAGAGGGTGGAAATGGCCTGCGCCATACGGCAGGAAGGCTGGGCGTCGGAAAAAGCAGATAGTACATTTTCTTTGCATCGGAAGTTATGATAAATATGAGTCTGTAAGTACAGTATGTGATGATATCAGTCGGTACGGATACGTTATATATGATATATGAGTCTGTAAGTAGTGCCGCGAAGTGAAGATACACTGTGTGAATTGTAATGCTCGAGGACTAGGAGGACTACCCATGTGAATGTCAAACAATGGAAGATAGCGAGGGCGGAACTCATCAAACAAACTAACTGTAACTGCTGTTTCATTACAGCTTGATCATCATTTTTAGATGACCTGATGTAGATGTCGATTACTGCGTCACTTCTGCTAATGCCAAGTATTACGCTAAGTAATACTACTTATCCACTGCTAGTCTAAGATGACAGCTAAGCTCCAGGATCCCTTCTCTCTCCTCCCCTCTTCTCTCCTCCCCTTTTCTCTCCCCTCTTCTCTCCCCTCTTCTCTCCTCCCTTCTCTCCTCCTCTCTCTCCTCCCCTCTCTCCTCCCCTCTCTCCTCCCCTCTCTCCTCCCCTCTCTCCTCCCCTCTCTCCTCCCCTCTCTCCTCCCCTTTTCTCTCCTCCCCTTTTCTCTCCTCCCCTTTTCTCTCCTCCCCTTTTCTCTCCTCCCCTCTTCTCTCCTCCCCTCTTCTCTCCTCCCCTCTCTCCTCTGCTCCATCTAACTTTTGGCTTGAGCTCCCATGGCGCGGAAATTCAGGTAGATAAACGGCGCATAGAATCGATTGACGTTAAGGCAACCGCTTAAGCATCCTCCACGTCGTGCTTGGTCCTCTTTTTAAGTATTCGAAAACTCAAAATAAGCGAGTAGCTAACTTGGATATACGATTCACGAGACCCTACGCTGCTCTTCTTCCTACGTTGCTCTATTCTAATTCGAAGTAGCTACTTGGTCATAATATTTCAGTTTTTCGAACACAAGTTGAAAGTCGGGGATGCAGTCAGTCGTTTTTCTAATGACGAACAATGGGCGAGGATGGTCTTTTTTCAGCTGCATTTCGTCGGAAAATGCTTTACGCTAGCAGCCGACACAGGATGGCTAGGAATGGGACTGCCGGTTAAGGCTTTGAAGGTTTACTTTAATGCAAACTTAATGCTTTATGTTGTTGATGTAGTTGTACTATTACTTCTATCTAGCACTGATGTTACAACTATCATTCTCTAAGCCTCGAAATCGTGGTGACACCTTCGTGATGCGATTCACGCTTTTGCAGGCCTTTACTCCTTCCATCGCAGATTATCCCGAATACACGTTGTCTGATTCGATATGAATGATGCTTTTTCTCCCATTTTTTAACACAGGACCATCGAGGCTGCTCCTTTTCCCCTTAAAACTGAATGTTTACTCGGTTAGCTTTCCCTCTATTCTACTCAGGCCTATCCCTTCCGGCAATGTATACTCGTTTAAAAGAGGCCTCGATGGGCTGGCCCTAGAGGGGAGAAAAAACGTGATCCATATCCGACTGCATGGGTTCACCGATATTCAGGTCGACGACCCGACAAGGCGGTGGTCAAGATCGGAGATGAAAATCCTGAACATTTACGACCTCACAACACCCTAAACTGTTCTAAAGTTTCTAAGGACCACCAAATTATAGCCCCAATTCCTAAGCCCTTCTGGAGTGGAACCCAATAATTATAGCAATAGTCCTGTGGACAGGAAGTTTCTCATCTCGTCTGTGCAATAGTTTTTTCGACTATCGACGGTTAGCAAGGAGGTTATAGCAACAGTCCGAGATAATTTTTCCCTCTAAATCATTGCTCTATTAGCCCTAAAGTTTCATCTGGAACCCAATTACAGCAATTTAGTTGTCCTAGATTTAATTTATCCTTCTAAATTATTGTCCCAATGGAGCTAATGTGTAGTCCTAGATTTATCCTTCTAAATTATTGCCCCAATGGAGCTAATGTGTAGTCCTAGATTTATCCTTCTAAATCAATGCCCCAATGGAGCTAAGTCGACAGTGGCTCAGCAGCTGCCAGGCGCTTTGCACCCGGATCATATAGGACAAGGATACATTGGCAATTGCTATGTTATGACTTGCCCGACAACACTCTGTCAGCCACGTCTCTACAGCCATCATGAACGATGGCAACCGAGACAAGAGTATGCACAACGCTCTGTTCTTCAAAGGTAATTACTTAGGTATATACTCTTTTTTGTCTGAAGAAAATTGTAATTGATTGATTGGAAATCGGCTACCTATGTATTGATTAGGTGAAAGGAAAACTGCCTGTCTATCTCCTGCTCGCGTGTATCACGAAGATTTAGAAGAAGTACACTTTCCGTCCGCACTTACGAGCGCACCCACCTCTTGAGGATCCCGGGGCTACAAATTTATTATAGTATTCCGCTGCGTACTCGGATACATAGTAAAGTAGAAAAAAATTATCCTAATCCACCCTTACACATTTATTAGCTCGAACAGGTTTTGGTGTAGTGCAACTTCATCTTTTATGGTTTTTCAATGGCCTCGAACGCTCACCCCCTCATAGGTGAGCCCACTTCTATCCTACCCTATTCTATCCTAGCTAAGTGTATTGCTTTCATCTACCCGATCTTATCCTACCCCATCCTTCATATGTTTCTACTCCGTATTACTGAATTACGCGCGGCTTGGGTGGTTAACGCCGATACCCGAAATATCACCAGTCGCGGTGTATGAGGTGCCGTTCTATCTCAGATCTCAATCTGCTTCTATGGATGAAGATGAGGCTTTTCTCCCATTTCTTGGTCTAGAACAGGCCATCTGGTGACCATGAATCTTGTTTATCTAGGCAGCTGCCCCGTCTTTTCATTTCCACTCTAAATGGATACACAATGCTATACAGGAGGCACCATGACATGACATGACGTGACTTCCTCTTGCTAAAGTTACCCCCCCGAATGGGTAAACTACTACTACTGCTCTCTGTGGATTCATTAGCAGCGCAGTCCATCTCAAACCATGCATCTTTGAAAGTGCATTACTGTAATTAAAGTGCATTACAGACCGTCTTGATGGGAGGGAAGAAGATGGAAGAGAGAGGATGATAAAAAAGGGGAGAGTAGTAAACACGAGTTCTCGATCAAGTTCGTCTAGGCTGCCCTCACTTATAATTTCCCATTGAATATGTATTTGAAAGTGTTGTACAACAGGTTAATATTAGAGCAGGACAGCTAGCTTGGATGGTCTATGTGATTTGAAGAGGGGAAGAAAAGCGCCATTGTTCATAGCCTGGATCCCGATCCTGATCGATGACAGGTCTCCGGTTCCGGCTGACCCGAATCTTATGGTCTTTGGTCCATGCTAGCCTATGTTTTTTTTCTCTTTGTACATATGTCGTGATACAGGAGCTACAGTTCTCTGCAGTTATATTCTTATTGATTCACACGTACCACGATGGCTCCTCCACCATCCGCTTCCATGCTTCTAATAAATTCTGTGGCCTTCTGCTATAGATTTCTTTTTCATCCACCATGTTATTTCGATTCTCCTAAAAAATCTACACTGTTCTCTCTGCTTCAGTGCTTCCTCTAATCCTCCGGACTTCGGTCGATTTATTCAAGTAGACACACAACAATCGCCAACCTTGGATTTGCTGACCAAGGCGTTCGCGAAACTGGAAGGCACCTTCTTAAGGCCTTTATAGTGGTTGTTTTTATAGTCGTCAATCAATCAATCAATCAATCCATCATGCTGACTCAGCTCCGGCCCCCTTGCAAGCCAAGCAGGTGAAGCAAAGGGGTGGCACGGAGCCACTCGGTGACTTCCCCACAGATACTTCTTGCTCTTCTTTCGAGAAGGTACAAGTCGGCTGAAAAGAATACCATTTGATAGGATGGACCATGAGGTTGTAACATGACATGACAATACTAGCGATACATGTACCAGGGAGGGAGGCCCCCCCCCCCCCCCTGTGGATGGATCTGGGGTGGACCACGCCAGAGGGGTCCAGCCTGGCCACCTTTGCGCGGTCTGTATGGTTGGCCACATGCAGCACGCCAAGGGGGTGGGTCCCGCCTTGCCTCCTCTGCCAGCTCTGTCGGGTACCGCAACACGCCCGAGGGCGCCAGCCTTGCCATCTTTGCCAGGTCTGTAGGGCACAGGCAACAAGGCAGCGGGGCCCTGCCTTTGCCCCCTTTGCCAGGTCTGTAGGGCACATGCAACAAGGCAGCGGGGCCCTGCCTTTGCCTTTGCCAGGCCTGTAGGGGACATGCAACAAGGCAGCGGGGCCCTGCCTTTGCCCCCTTTGCCAGGCCTGTAGGGGACATGCAACAAGGCAGCGGGGCCCTGCCTTTGCCCCCTTTGCCTGGTCTGTCGGGTACATGCAACAAGCCAGCGGGGCCCTGCCTTTGCCCCCTTTGCCTTTGCCAGGTCTGTAGGGTACAGGCAACAAGGCGGGAAGGGGTCAGAAGTGGGCGCTTTGAGGCCTTCCCGCCCGGCAGCCCCTCGAAAAGAGGGGCCGGGGCTGGCAGGCCCCCCCCCCCTTCAAAAAGTTAGATCGGGGGGGGGGCCTCCAGCCCTGAGCCCTGGAACATACATAGAAAATTGACAGCTTTTAACTTTTGCACGGAACGAGGGAGGTTTCTCCGAGTTTTCTATTCTGCCACTAGGTGGACCCCCGGAACCTGAGATCCCATCTGCTCTCGGCGGATACGGCAAATGGATCATACGATTTTACAAATCACAGCGAAAATTAAGGTTAGTACGTCTATCTCCAATGGTTGCAGCATCCCTGTACGTAGGGATCCCTCAGTCCTCGTATGCCTCCCCATACAACGGAGAGGGAGATATTCTTGAGGCATATTTATTCTACTTGAGGGATCTACTCCACAGGGAAGGTTAATCAATTAGGGAGAGGTCTAACAACAGGGTCGGATGCGCCTTTGGTCAAGATGCAGGGCGCGCCATGGATTGCGAGGTACAACAAGAAAGTCTTCTTGATTAAGGCGTTTTTTTGATTTTACTAAAAAAAGGAATCTACTTGATTGCGTTGCCTCTCTTCTACATGATCCTTTTTTACCCTTCTAAGTAGTCAATCTACCAAATAAACCTACATTCCAAATATGTTTTACTATATCACCCAATCCTTAGTACACTAGTCGACTTGACAACCAAGATGGAAATGAATGATTAATACATAGAACAAGGTCAAGAATCAGGTTGCTCCTCCTCTCGGTCCTCCTCTCCTCTGAAGGAAGCATGTAAATGAAATCATGCTGCAGAAGTCTTTAACTTGAAGGGAGACGAGGAATCTTCGGAGAATGGGCCAGCCTTGTTGGACTTCGATAATCGAATGTTAAGGCTAGTTTTTCGCTATCCCATGTGGACTATGCTCCTGAGTGGGTGGCCCCCTCTGATTTCAAGGCGCAGCTTCCGAGGGGAAGAGAGGGAAGGCACGACTCACACCGAGTGATACATATGGAAAAACTAGCGCTAAGAATGAGCGGGAAGGTGCAGCTTGAGCAAACGACCAATGAGAGGTCAAGGGAAACTTTAGACTCAAAGCATTGCGCTGTTTTTATGACGTCATGGGCATGGCTACATTTGGGTCATTTCCTCGTATGTAGATGTTGGTGACGTAAGTGGTACTTCCTGGAAGCCAATGTTTGAATGTTGTCCAATACTCAACCCTGCAGAGGTTGAAATAAAAAACTGTACTGCTGATTAGAATGAACTAGATGAATTTGCTACTTATACTAAAAACCGGGTAGGGGTATCAGTTCCATTTGAGCAAAAGGACTATGAGGCTACAACTTCTATATTCATAGGTGGGGTTGGACGAGAAGAAGATCTTGCAGAGATGAAAAAGTAACACAAGTGGTCCTCTCGAGAAAAAGAAAAAGTACATACACTACACCCCGCGAGTCGGTACATCAATCAATGAATGAATCAATACACCGCCTGGATGATCTAATATTGGATGCTCAATCAATACACCTCTAATATTCTCCTCTCCTGGAAACAGCAAATCGCTTACTTAGTGGAAACTCGATTTCGACAGTTATGGCGGACTTTTTTGAGGTCGAATCCGTGGCCCCTATACGAGGACGCTGCAGCAAAGAAGTATGCGTGTATTATGGCTGTATCATAGAAATAGCAAAGAAGTATGCGTGTATTGTGGCTGTATCATAGAAATAGCAAAGAAGTATGCGTGTATTGTGGCTGTATCATAGAAATAGCAAAGAAGTATGCGTGTATTATGGCTGTATCATAGAAATAGCAAAGAAGTATGCGTGTATTATGGCTGTATCATAGAAATAGCAAAGAAGTATGCGTGTATTATGGCTGTATCATAGAAATAGCAAAGAAGTATGCGTGTATTATGGCTGTATCATAGAAATAGCAAAGAAGTATGCGTGTATTATGGCTGTATCATAGAAATAGCAAAGAAGTATGCGTGTATTATGGCTGTATCATAGAAATAGCAAAGAAGTATGCGTGTATTGTGGCTGTATCATAGAAATAGCAAAGAAGTATGCGTGTATTGTGGCTGTATCATAGAAATAGCAAAGAAGTATGCTTGTATTATGGCTGTATCATAGAAATAGCAAAGAAGTATGCGTGTATTATGGCTGTGTCATAGAAATAGCAAAGAAGTATGCGTGTATTATGGCTGTGTCATTTAAACGAGCGTGCAGCTCAGCTACAACACGATGGAGAAGGACTGGATCAGTCAAACACTTACATCTGGGTTACAGCCTTATATATTATATAGAAATACTGTCGGTAGACCACGTCTCTACGGTCATCATGAACGATGGCAACAGGGACAACAGCATGCGTGCGTGTCTTTGGTTAGGCATGAGCGCTACATAACCTACAACCTAGCTGCTGTCCTCTCATCATCACTATTTCTGATTGGTTGCGTTTTTTCAATACTTCTAACAAACCATATATATTATGACTGTATCCATCATGATGTGAGGAATGCGGAAATGTTTTAGGAAAGGACTCCTTCCTATGACTCCTTCCTAGTACTGTAGAAGGGAGGCTCCTGGAGTATCGTATAATAGCTGCTACAAGTAGCAGGCATCGCCTTGTGACTCACAATTAGTATGTTTCATCAGCAGGGTTAAAAACAAAGGAATGCTAGTAGGGGGAGGAACAGTAACTCACTGTCACGTCTTCAAGAAATCGCCATCAGATACCTCAAGACTGAAGGTAAATGAATAAATGAATGGGAATCAAATCTTCTTCGTCTAAGTCTAGCGAGATTTACACGAAAGACGGTCGAGAGAGGTTGAAAAGAGCCGCAGAGTTCAAGGACATAGGCGCAGCGATTACACAGCATAGCCAGGAGCTTTGTCTTGACGTCCTCTGGTCGATGTTTCTCATAAAACAGCAATACTTTTAAGACAATGAATGTAGTTGAGGCTGTAACAAACTTCACATTCTTCACTAGGTAGTTGTACTTACTTACTGAATATAATTTCAGGATGAAAGAAATCTTTTCTGGCTCGTCAATGGTCCCGAACGCTCACTTCCTCATATGTGAGCCCACTCCTATCCTATCCCAGGAGATCATGGTGACTATTCAGTACACATAACGGCCGCTCCACCTGCTCCTCCCGGTGAGATAGATATGTGACGCCGTTTAATGCGAATAGAATAAGTAATCTTACTCGGTCTTGCAGCCTTAAAATTTTCTCTAACCATGCTTGTAAAATAGACACATCGACCTTACAGCCTTAAAAGGTTTTCTAATCATGCTCGCTGAGGATCGAAAGGGAAAGAGCAGCTGCGAGGCAAGCAAAGACTATGGCCAAGATAGAATGGTAAGTCCCTTCTTCTAAAATAGTAGTAACTAGGAATTTGTGATAGAATTAAGGCTCAACTTTCATTGGTCATAGAGGTTAGTCACTGAAATCGAAGAGGGTCCCTCTGAGAGAACAGGGGAAAATGAAGGGAAAGGGGAGAGCCTTGGAGGAGGTCTCTTCCGTTCAGAGTCAGTGACCAATGAATGCTGAGCTTTAATAGAAACACCCTATCCTATCGTATCCTATCCTATCGTATCCTACATTCTTTGTAGAGTAATTTTCTGTAGTAGGGAACTTTGTCCCACTGAGCATTTTTCTGCCCAGGTAGTAGAGTGGGTGAATTTACACATAATGATACTTCTGAGTGATGATTATATGATCGTTCTGATTTTTAAGATGATTTTGCGGATCCGTGTACATCTTCTATAGCATATTCTTCAAGCACTTTTTTATTGAGTTCTCTGCTTCCAAGCTTAAAACTGTACAGCAACAAGGCACCTAGTACACCGTATAAGGTCGCGGAAAGAAGTGGGATCATGGGTAAAAATGTTGCTCGTGATAACACATGAGGAGAGTATTCAACACGAGTCTCGATTAAGTGTAGTGGGGTCACGGGTAATAAATAAGTAGTGTTAGTTCAAGTCTCTGTTAGTTTCTAATTTACATCTAAATCTAAGGTCAAAATCTAAAAAATCTCAATTTCTAATAACTAGGATGCAGAGGCACGCGGAACGAGAAATGATGGAAGTGCTGATTAAGGGTTACCGAGTTTTTACATCCCGCACGACGGACGGACCGTCCTTGGCAAGCTCTTTTCTACTCGAAAAAGGCTCGTCCAGGGTGGATGTTCTGAGGGATGTAATTCTACAACTTCTAAGGTGAGTTGACACCACCTCCAGAGATGAGTTTTCTGGAGGAAGAGGATGAAGAGTACGCGGACCTCCTAAGGGCTGTGGAGAGAGAGTATCGGATGGACGATGACGGCGACGACATTGGTGAAGAGTATGGTGCTTCGCCATCCTGTGTGCCTTATGTTCTTGGGAGAAGATGATGAACATGAAACAATCCCTCTCCCTCATGCACTTAGGTAGCCCCTATACCTCACGAATAGGCACATCAATCAAAAAATCAATCATTTGCAGGATGAAAGAATGATACTAGAGATATCTTCACTAACTGTAAGTCCCGCCGATAGACTGGGAGAACTACGCGGGATGTCAATGAGTGGATTGGAGTGGTCATGGTCCGTGAGTGATCCGTCCTCGCCTATAGGATCTTGATCTTCTAGTAGAGCTACGCCTAGCGTCCTCCCCTATAGGATCTCGATCTTCTAGTAGAACTACGCCTACAACTCCACTTCCAGACTCTTCTCAGAACTTTTGAGAGTCTGGAGTTGGAGCTGTAGGCGTAGTCCACTTCCAGACTCACTCTCACTCATTCACTCTCACTACTCACTCTAAAACTGGCGGTCGTGCAAACCACGGGCGCCACATCCAGACTCACTGGCGGATGCTGAAACCTCCTCCTCCGACTCTCGTCCTTCGGAGGACTCCGAACTACCCGAAGATAGCTCTCGTGGCGAGTCCCTGGGTCCAGAGTTGTACTCCACTAGACACGCAAGAATGTTCAGAAACGCGACAAGAATAGCAGCGAAACTATCTGCGCCTTCTGTTGTATCCTCTTGCCCTACTACCTTTACGAGAACCACAAAACAGTCACACTTACAAACAAACTTCACAATTAGCAGGAGAAGACCTGTGACGATGAGTAGGGTTGCTGCTGGAAGGCCTCATAAGTAGTGACATTAATAAGTAGCTACAAACGAGGCGCCATGACATAACATGACGTTTCATCTCAGTTCTACTACTCTTCCTAAGCAGGGAGAAAAGAGGAACTAAGGGGGATTTATATTTATTGTACTGTACTATGGATGTGACTCCAACAATTTATATACGCAGTAACACCTCCTCCGCCTTCATAACTAGCACCCCCTCTTGCTAATACTTTTCTTGAAGATCCCTCAGCATCATCGTGTGGAGAGAGCGAGGCCGTTAAGAACTACGCGGGGGAAGTGGAGGACGATACTGTTAAGGGTTTCCGAATTGCATTCCTCACTGCCATCCCTAGAGCTCTTTGCCCAGTAGAAAAGAAGCTAGAAACTATGTACTTAAGAGTGTAAAAATTTCGTAACCTCTAATACTGGGAAGGAATTCGTGCCGCACGCGTCTGAAATTCCCTGGTTGCGGCATCAACAGCCACTCACGGAGACTCGCTGGCTCGAACAGCTAAGGGAGAGAGCAGCAAGTCAGGCGGGTGTGGTTACGATAGGCATCAGTCAATTTTTCGGGTTGTAACAATTGAAATCTTCAAAATCATGATGATCATGCTTTTGTTCAGAGAAATATTGAGTCTTTGGTCTTCCTCGGTTCATGAACATCATGATGATCATGGTTCCGTCGACGGTTTCGGAATACTGATGCTCTGGGCAACATGCCATACCATACTTCTAGGAAAAGTGTTGACCGACACCGAGGAGAGCCTGCACCTGCCTAAGCAGGTACTCCGTTCGTACTACACCAGAAGTGTTTCTTTACTAGAGGCCTGATGAAAAGTGAACTGCTGAGGATTTTTATCTTATGCAGCACTTTTCTCCTTGTTTCTCGAATTTCATTTTTGCGACTAACACTAAAACTAATGGTTGTTCCTTATGCTATAAAAATATGTAAGACAAGCATCACAAGATGAGGTAGTCTCCTCTACCTCTCACCCCCTCTTACCCTCTAACGCGAGAAACGGTTGCACGCGTGATGGGCGGGAAGCCCAGCTAGAATTAAGGACTTCATCCCTCTTGCGTCCTGCAGTAACATCTTCCCGTGAAAGAAGTAGTTAGTACTAGGGGAAGACGTTCTCGTTCTGCAGATGAATGCAATTATGTCGGGAGAAGCTCGAATAGAAGAGCCTGAAGACCCGTTTTCTTTTAGTCGTAAAGTCATCCTTGTGGAGAGTCCCTTGTGCAAATGCTTGATGCGACCAGAACAAAGCGCCAACATCCAGCTTTGCATCATGCTATCCATGTATTGCGATGGTCACCATCATCGGAACTTGGGGAATTTAAGAATTCGGTATCGGTTTGGTATGTTGTTACTTGTATTCGACAACATAAATATGAAATAAGCAAGTAGAAGAAGTGTGTTCAATAATACGGTAGTTCTGTTCTAAGTTAGAAGTAGCTTTCTTAAGGATCACTTTACTCAGTTAAATTTCAGTTTATCGAATAGTTGCAGGGACAGAAAGCCGAAGCATACTATCCTATCCAACTTTTTTTCTCACACTGGGAATCTTCTAACTTTCGAACTACCTACAATAGCAGACATGCCGAAGGAGGACTTAATAGAGGAGGCCTGCAATAAGCTGGAAGAGTGGTCCGCGCACACGGAGAGCGACCTATTATGATCTTTATTTCTAGATACGGATGATGTTTTTTGCATCTACTGTCAGACCATGATCATCTAGAAGTAAAGATTAGTACCCCTTTTATTATTCCCTTGAACTAGAAGCCTAAGACTAGTACCCCTTTTATTCGTCCCCTTGGCAGTGTATAAGCTGAAGGGGGGCCGCCTTACGGGGGGGCACCTCGATGGTCTGCCTAAAAAGTGAAGTTTCGTAATTTAGTATCCATCCTTCTCAGGGGCTTCTCTGTCCTTCATGCCGAGCACATCACTACTTTGTCGCCTATGACCGTTCTGGCACTTATTTTCTGACGCTTAAGACGCTATTTGTTTGGTATCCTGCCTTGTGCTCCAGCTCCTAGAGTTAGAAGAGTCCAAGAGGAAGGGGAAACGTAGACGTAATCAGAGGAGGGGGCCGCGAGATGGATTCGCGCTGGCTGCTCTAAACCTAAGGAAATTTGGAGACAGAGGAATAAAGGCGGAAGAAAAGACTAGTGAAGGCGCTGGGTCAGGGTCTCCTCGCAAGAGTAAAGACAACTCGCCTCGCAGAGTCAACGCGGGGAACAAAATGGAGGGACCTAAAGTTAAGTCTGCATAAAAAGACTTACATTGTTCGCAAAGAGGATTATCAATCTACTGATCTTCCTTTGATTTTCTTACTGGTCTTATGGTTCTACCAGCTTAAGATTTTTTTAAATTGGTGCTCGGGCAACTACCGGACAAGAGCTAGGACAATTACAGTTTTTCACCCCATACATTTAGATATAATCAAATTAACTTTGTCTCAGGGGTGTGCTGCAAAAAATCTAGATTGGCTTCTTCCTTTTTTATAAGGATGGGGCTTAGGTCCAGCGACGCCCAAAGCACAAAATTAAAGTAGCCGGCTAGTTTTCCCTCTACCCTTAGACTTATCCCTTCATGCGATACAATCAAAGTAAGTAACTCACATCCATACACTTCACCCCACTAGTACCTAGTTATAAACTTATATATATGTTGCCATAAGTGCAACTACGTTGGCACGGCATTTTTCCATCTTCTAAGCACAGAGAGCACATCCGGAATCTTCTTGTGGTCAAGAGAGCAACGAAACTGCATCCGAATATTCAGACGTCGATTATTTAAGGCCGCGCACAACTCGACGAGTCGTCAGTTTGTCGTACGTGGATGGCAGTTTGTACTTTTTATACTGAAGCTGTATTTAATATAATGTACTTCTACCTTTCCCGCAGCGCTGGGAAAGGTAGAAGTACATTAGTGTGCCTCAATGCTCTGCTGCAATGTGCGGCCAGCGCTGCTGAGGGATATTCCCAGGCGAGCCAGTAGGTGACCGCCCGACTCGTGTGCAGCTTGCTGCGGGTCCAGGATGCATGCGCTTACTCTGCCGGGAGGGGCTCGAGAACTGGGCGCCCCGATTTGTGGCCCCAAGTATCATGGTGGGCGCACGGTGGGCGAAATCTTTCGCAGAAGACCCACTTTTGGGCCGCCCAGCGTGCCAAGCGTGTCCACAGGTCCAATTCTGGAGAGGGAGCAAACTTTCGCATTTATCATGTACTTCTACCTTCTCCTAATAAAAATATAGATGTATACTTATTTAATAATGTACCTCTAGTACTGTGCGTGGATGTCAGTTTGTACTTCTTGTACTGAAACTGTCTTTAATGTACAACTTCTACTTTACTGAAAATGTATTAGTACTATTTTGCAGTACTACGTAGGATACATCAGAATTCACAAGGAACTGGAAGTCAGTTTCTACTTGTTGTTATCAGATGACTATGACAGCGAAATAACTACTTTTGTTTAAAAATCAATTTGAAAGCCCTAAGCCCTAGTCTTCGCCGCCCTAACCCTAGGCCCAAGCCCTAAGCCATCTAATTTACGGTGACGGAACCTCCAGAAGCACCCGTAGAAGAGGAGGGGAACACCGTGGCCGAGAACGACAAACGCGCACCGTGTACCTTTTGGAAATTGCATGCGCGGAGTGTGTCTGTCGACCAGAAATATTAAGACTTCGTCCCCTAATCCATCTCTAGTACTATAGACAATCTGCATCCCTCAACAGTATTTAAATGCACCGCCATCACCATCTCTAGTACCATAGACATGCTGCATCCCTCAACAGTATCTAAATGCACCCCAAGCAATACTGAACAAGGGAATCAATAAATAGGAAGGCATATTACGACCCTTGCGGGATCGCTATATAAGGTTGCGGGATCCCTATCAGGAGTGTTGGTTCAAACTAGGGGAAGCTCTAAAAATACAAATTTCATGGAAGAAATCACTATGGGGGATTTTCGGTTTTCGGAAAAAAAGGCGAGTCGCACGATTCCGCCACTTGGAATTAAGGATGGAAGTACAGGACGATTATCAGGAGCATACAGATTCGTATTCGCTGCACTTATCCTTTATATATATATTTTGGTATTCGCACTTATCCTTTAAATAAATTTGTGGTAGACTGATAGATGACAGTGACAGTGGACCACTAATAAATACAGAATAGTTCTCTTCCAAATGATACATTAGTAGACTGAATAACAGAAGCTGACGACTTTTTCTAGGACAGAAATAGGAACATTTAAGGAAACGTGATGATGATTGATGATGAAAGAACAAGAACTACTACTAAGTCAATGTTGAAGTTTGAAAGAGCAAGACTGTAAAAGGCCCTTTTGGTCTTCTGCGGTTTGAATCATCACTACTACAACTAGCTGTACTAGTTCTAGTACTTCTTCTAATTTGTCGAGTTGGCGCTTGGTCACGCATACGCATTGGATGTCGTTTCCATCGTAGCTTTTCCGATAAAGCAACCCTTCAAAGGAGTTTGGAAGCCTGAAGTTACGATGAAAGAAAAGGAGAAGTAAGTAGAGAAAGAAGAGAGAAGAAGAACGTTATATTGACGCTAAAAAAACTTGCTTAGGGTTTTCACTAGAGCCTTTTACTTGAGTCAGTACTAGAATGGTCGCCTCATGCTCGTACTTCTCGGCTCATACCTCACGCTTACCAGTTACTTGAGTCAGCACCTTGACGGAAAAATCAGATGGTGCTTACTAGCGCCTTCTACTTAATCGCTCACTACTTGCCAATGAAATAATACCTCGTGCCTTAACGGTAGAACTAGTACTTTGGTGGACCATCACGTTGCCGTTGGAGTCTTGTTAGATCCTATCCTATCCTATGAAAAAAAAGTCCTAGTGAAATTCCCGTTTGCCTTCGTCGTCTTCTAAGGAAAAACTGAAAGCCAAGGAGATCGCACTTCGAAAAAGAGATGAGGGAAAGGCAGAGCAGAAAGAGGAGGCCGGAGGGGAAGAAACAGCTGCTTCATCCTCCTCTTTCTCCGAGACGAAGGAGAACGGAGGAAGCGCCTTGTTGGAATAGGGCAGATAAAAATACTTGCTCTAGTAAAGACCACCACAGACGCTGTCATTGATATAATTACTTACTTTCTTTCTTAAATCAGAAGAAGAAAGTAGGTGGAAAGTCGTGCCAAGAAGAATATTAGTTCGTGGTTGTACTCCACGACGGATGAAAATTTTGACTAACTTCTCAATCTCGTTCCTCCTAGTAAGCTACTTTTGTAACTTTCATCTCCAACTAAGGTACTTCAATAGAAGTCCTCCCGCTATATTCAAATTGATTTCTTACACGACTCACTGACTTGTAGTACTATAAAGTTAGTTTTCATCCCTCATTTTCATCCTCGGTTAGTCCCTCCAATGAAAATTGAATTTAACCTAACTTAACCTAGTGATAGTTTGAAGATTAAACTATTAGTCAACTAGGAAGCGAATGCAGGGCAGGCGCACAGTTGGACCCCGAGAAGGTGCGGGGCTGTGTTAGAGAATTTCTTTTCCCGCCCGCCCGCCCAGCATGCCGTTTGGTTCCTCGCGCCCAGGGGGGTTCTGCCTCTGGTGACAGAGGAATTTCCGAGGGGTGTGAGGAGTTGGTGGCCCACGTTGAGGCTGGATTAGGCCGCCTCTCCACCATGCCGAATAGCTGTAATAGTAGTTGTTTGAAGATTAAACTATTAGTCATTCATCCTGTCGTGGTCAGGAAGTTTTTTTATCTCATCTGTGAAATGTTTTTTTCGACTATCTATGGTTTCCAAGGCTTTCGTCGAAAAGTGACTTAGTACTATGAGTCTTCTTGCTTCTAATGGCCAAAGCTCGAAGATACAGTCGCACCCAAAAATGCAAAGTCCCAAGATCAAGACTTTACCAGCGATGTGGAATTTTAAGGCTCAAAATGATTCATTTCTACGTGCTGTTATTTTTCATTGTTTCCTTCTTCAGCGTTCTAATGCTGAACTATAATGTATCGCAAGTTTTGGTCTTCTTCTTCACTACTGCTGTCTCAAGAGCGGTGACATGCGTAGCTTAGCTGTCTCAAGAGCGTGGTATAGATACAACGCTTGAGATCCGTTGAAAGACTGAGCCTGAGAATATATGATAATGAGTTGTTTTTTATAGTTTTCGGCTCTGCTCCTCATGTTCCCACTTCAAAATACAGGGTTACTACTGCTGTGCCTCAGGGTTACAGTTTTCAGCTCTAAGAGTTGGTAGACGTGCTTCTGGTTTACGGTATGGCCATTCGCAATCCATGGGGAGACACCCAAGCGAATGCGGGAGTTCGACTAAACGGGTTCTCGAAAGTTATGCTGTTCTGGAACTAGAGGTGTCCCACTCCAATTTGTTACTAGTACAGTTTACAAGCTTTCCACTAATGATTCGTCGTTCCTTCGTCCTTTATAGTGCAGCTGTTGGGCTGCTACTAGTACTACTCGTCGAGACAACAATTTGAGGGATGTATGACTATCCTCGTCCAATTTATAGGGTTTAGTGCTACTCGTCGTCGCGCTTCTTGTGGTTCTCGTTGCACTTATGCTTCTACCTGAAAAAAGACATTAATATAGTATACGTAAGCTAAAGTTTAAGTACTCGGTGCACCCTCAACCTTAACGTTAGCCTCAACCTTAACCTTAAGTCTGACAACGAACGGGGTGGACTCACTCTGACAACGAAAGTAATCGAAAGCAGGAAATATCCGAGTTACTGACTGAAATATGGGACGTAGCTTCTAAAGACTACCCTTCCCTCAGGAGATGAAGTATCTCGGTTATTCTTGTGTTGTCTTCCTCAAGAAACTGTTGTTGATGCTAACCTAACCTTCTAAGCTCCGAGAGCACTGGGAGCCGAACCCTGATCATGGCATGGACGCAGTCGACCTGCTGTTTATGGAATTCAATGGTCACCAAGCGGAAGAGGAAAAGCAGAAGGCGAACGCCGCGTTTCAACCTAATCCTAAGGTTATGAGATGAAACGAATGTATGATTTAGAATTATCCCACTGAATTCAACGATTATAGAATCCCACGGAACTCAATGGTTTCCTGGATATTTTTTGGTCTCTGGTGTTATAGCGCTAACAATTAAATGATAGAATGATCGTCCCACTGAACTAAATGAATGGTTTCCCGGATATTTTTTGGTCTTCGTCATAGAAGTACATGTAGTATGTGTTTGTTGACTATGTATGTGAGACTCATGCCGTGCCAACCTTAGGGGATTGGAAGACAATGACAAGTAAAGGGCATAATTCCGGGTGCTCGTCAGAAGTGAAGTGCTGGTTGTTAGTTGTTGTTCATAATTATAGACAACTCATACGACTTTTTTGACACATGCACTCTTCTTGAGGACCAATAATGTACTATCTATCAGAAGATACGACGACTCTTCATCCCACTCCCAAGTCCCAACTCACTCATATTAATGATTAGGAGACGACTCTAAACAAAAGAATTACGCTCGCAGGTCTCACTATATGCAAAAAGAGGGGAACACAGAGCCGAAACTGCCGAACCTGAAAGAGCACCTGTTCAACATAGATTTAAGGTTTCAGTTCTAGGTAGTTGACCTCTCTAACTCTATGAGCATGAGCAAGAAATACATCTATGAATTTTCCCTCATATCCTAGGTTTATCCTTCCCAGCAATATATCTATGAACGAATTGTAGCTTTCAAGTAGTTCTCAAGTAGTTATTAAGAACAAGTAGTTTTCAACAAGTACCAGGATCAAAAAAAGAACAAAGTAGTCATCTAGCAGTAGTCATAGTCATAGATCATTTCTTTATGCGTCGAACTAGATCTAGATTGAATGTTGGGTCAACAACTTGCAACCCCTAATAGCTGACGAGGATTCTTGGGACAAAAAGGGCATCGAAATCTTTCAACTAGATGAATTTTGCGGATGGGATATGGATGCGCGGCAAATGGACGATTTTGCTAAGGAATTGGCCAAAAAGGACGAGTCCCTACCTCCGGAGGCGAAAGAAATACGAGAGCAGATTGGAAAAAGACGGGACTCTTTCTTTTAAGAAGCATGATTGAAGGCATAATTAACGCAAAACGCGATACGTAAATAATCAAAAAATGCTACTGCACCACGATCATGATCCTCCTTCAGGTAACAACATGATCATGACTGTCTGTCCAGTCTTGAAGCTTTAAAATTAGCTTCTTTGTTCCTTCTTTATTTCTCTCCTTAACTTTTTTTTTTTTCTGGTCTTGATGGATCGATCGTTACTGGGCTACCCTTTTTCGTCCCTTCTGTTCCATCCCTTTCTTTGATTGAGTAGAAGCACTCTTTTACTGAGTAGAAGTACTCTTTGATTGAGTAGAAGTACTCTTTGATTGAGTAGTACTCTTTGATTGAGTAGTACTCTTTGATTGAGTAGTACTCTTTGATTGAGTAGAAGTACTCTTTGACCTCTTTCATAGCAGCGCTCGGATTCCTAGACACTGCATCAAGGAGTTGGAAGTGCAGCAATTTCGTTCATGGAATTGGCTTCCTTTCGACGAGCTTGCGAAAACAATCGACGTCGGCAAAGATGCTTAAGGGTCTAGTTTTTTGGTGTGGTAGTTCTTGTTGCTATTAGTACTTAGTTTTGCACCCCATGGTGCATTGTAGATATGATTAGTTTTTTGCTCTTCCCGATACCGTTCCACCAGTTTTGCCTATCCATCATATAGGAGAAAGGCATAACTAGCGGGGTCAACTATCTAACACCAAAAAAACAAAAAGCCTAACAAACTCTAAGACCCCATAGACAGAATCGAGTTGACGATGGTGCCCCTACCGCATCGTCATTGGTCCAAGCATCCACCTGGAACCAACATTATGACACCGCAATTGTGTGACGATTTAATAAAAGAGTATTCATGACGACCACCTCTTTTTCCTTCATCGTCATTGTTGAGCCTCTTGATATCCTCAGCCGTCATCTATCTCTCTCTAAGCATTTTGGTGTTGGAGTCTTCCCTCTGGGTGCAGACGGCAGTCGAGTGCCTCAGTTGGGTGATACACGATCCGAGGAACAGAGGCGAATTGACGAAGAGGTTAAGGACTCTTTCCACGTTGCATTCTGCACTGCATTCTTCTGCACTTGCTGCATGCTTGGCCCTTGTAATTTTTCGAGTTGAAGATCACAGGTGCTCAAGAATGTTCTGATGTTCTGAAGAATGTGATAACTTCCTGCAGGTGGAGCCTCTAAAGACAACGGCAAGAAAAGACAAATTTCGATGTCCAAGGGAGAACAACTTACGAAGAAGGACCACGCTTGTCGTAGAGAGAGGTTTTTGGTAATGTTCGTTTGTGGAGGTGTGTTCTTGTGACTTGTAGTTTCGTTTTGTTTGATTGTGATGATCTGATGGAATTTCTACCTATTGTTAGAAATCCTATTTTTCCTAGACTAAGTTGTAGTAGTTGCAGGCCGCCTTGTTTGATCAGAAGACCTCCGGGGCAGTTGGACGAACTCGAGGCGCCTAGAATAAGCGGATCCTAACATAAACGTGGCCACTATAGCTCTTTTTAAACAGTTGGGCTTTTTCCTTTTTATGTAATTTTTTTTCCTAGTTAGACGTGCTCCACCGGTATAATAGCATCCGACAGAAATAACGTAATTAAACGTTCTAGTGGAGGGGTACGTGCTCTATACGACCTACAATCTAGTCCTCTCATCATAATATATACACATGGCTTTTTAGGCAGATGAAGGCTCTTCTAACGTGTTGCCTTTGGAGGACGCAGATCCGGAATCGACGGTCATTCTTTAAGGCCTTTGTATTTTAGTTTTGCTTCTCCTCTTCTCTATCTGCTCTCAGGCTTCTGAGGCACCTATCTCACGCTTACCACGTTACTTATTTGTATGAAATTTCATTCTGCTGCTGCTGCTCCTACGTGAACATGAACATCGTGGAGACCACTAAGAAGTAGAAGTATTCTCTTTCGCTCCCACTTTCAAGATATCTGTGAAAAAATTATACAACGCTAATGTATTGCTGCGATGGAAGGCAATGCCGAATCCGTCCTTGATCCTGGTACTCTTAAGGCTTTGAGGGCATGCGTATCTTCCGAAATAAATCAAAACGCAGAAAAAGAAGGAGTCAACGCAGATCTTTTGTGACCACTTGACTGCTTGATTGATTGAATGTGATGAATTTCTACGCAGCTAAAAGAAGATTCCATTACTCTTGGCAGAGTACTACAGAGGATTCATGTTTGAGGTTATTCTTTTGGAAAAGCTCTAAGGCTTCAGCGAGTGCAGCCAACGGCGAAGAATTAAGGCTCTACTCAGTCATTGTTCGTTGAAGAATTTCATTTCTACAAGTCTGCTTCACGTTCACTTCGTATTGCTGTTAAAATGTGAATTGTTTCAACCTCTACCAATTAGTGTCAGTCTTTACCACGCTTCAAAGCTGAAACATCAGAAAAAGCCTATTATCTATGATTGACTAGTCTAAATAGAAAAAGCTCTGTTAATATATATTTATATCTTCCTCTGGTCTGTCTTTTTTCTAGTTAGGTCGGCTCCGCCACAATTTATAATGTCTCCTATATATTGATTCGATGGGAGGCAGCATCTAGTCCTAACAAAACAAAAAAAAACTGTGAACATGAAAATTGTTCCCGGGGAGACAGATTCACATCCATGTAATGTCTAATGTAATTGTAATGTAAATATTCCTTTCAAGCACTAGTACATGTGCTACCAACCGCACAACGAACATCTAGGAGATCTTTTATGCAGTGGTAAGCTACATGATTCTTGTGCTCGTTATTCCTCTTCCTGTAGTTCTTAACTTACATCATTGTCTCCTGTAGTTTTTCTTATTAACCGCCAATAGTATCCTCTCCTTCTCCTATCCTGTCCTATCCGCTCCTATCCTATCCTATCCTATCCTATCCTATCCTATCCGCTCCTCTCCTATCCTATCCTTTCCTGTCCTATCCTATCCTATCCTATCCTAAGAAAGCCACTAAGACCAAAAGAAAAGGCATCGGAAGGAGATGTACAGAAAGATGGAGCTGGACAGTCGACTGAGACTGCGGACGGTGCGGAAGCAGGGGATGCCGCGGATGCAGGGGCTGCCGATCAAGGTGAGCGTGAGAATGACCACCAGCCGACGGAGGAGCCCGGAGCCGAACAACCTGGGGATGACCAGTCGAGGCAGGGCGCTGAAGCTACGGACGTCGGTGCGAAGCAGGGCGCGGGAGGTGGGGATGACCAGTCAAGTCAGGGCGCGGAAGGTGGGGCTCCAGTGGAAGGTGGGGATCCAGCGGTAGGTGGGGATGCAGCGGAAGGTGGGGATCCAGCGGTAGGTGGGGATGCAGCGAAAGGTGGGGATGCAGCGGTAGGTGGGGATGCAGCGGTAGGTGGGGATGAAGCAGGATCCGAAAGAGGAGATGGAACAGAGAAAGAGATGCAACCTGCTGGAGGTGGCGGAGCAGAAGGAGGTGGAGGGGATGACGATGCAGGTGGTGATGGGCAACCGAGTAGGACTGCTGATGCTGAAGCGGGAAAGGATCCTGGTGAAAATAGTGGTGGATCGGCAGGGGATGGCAAAGAGGCTGATGATGGACAGGCAGTACACGATGGTGGAGAGGAACTAGGAAAGGGAGAGCAACAAAAGCAAGGTGGAAAGTCGTCCGGATCAGGGTTCAGCTGGTTCGACCCGCGGAGCTGGGGCCGGCCTAGCTGGCTTCGCTTGCCTGTACTTCCGCGGCTCTCCGGAAGTGGTGCAAACTCCGCACCGAAGAAGGACGGAAAGAAAGAGACGGATGCCGCGGAAGCTGGGAGAGAACCGTCACAGGGGGCCGCCGCTGCGGAAGGTGGAGCTCCAGCCCCAGGCGAGGCCACGGAAGGCGATGGCACAGCGAAGAAGGAGAGAGCAAGGGCAGACGGAGCCGCGCCGGCCGAAGAAGCTGTACCAGCAGATGCCAGTCGAGAGAGTGAGCCAGCAACACAACCACAAGCCGCGGGTGGTCAGGCAGGGGCAGAGGCCACTCCAGCAAGCGACTCCACGTCGACCCCGAAGGCTGAACAGGCATCCCCCACTGAAGTCAAAGATGCCACCACTGAAGCCACAGCGCCTCAAGACACTGCATCGGCAGTTCCCACTGCAGAGGGTGAGAAAGCCGACACGCAGACTCCGATGGCTCAGTCAGCAGTCACCGCTCAAACGAGTGAATCCACGGCGGCTCAGCATGGTAGCAAGGCACCCGAGGAGGGAAGCTCTGAGCCGAGGGGGTACACCCGCTGGTGGAATCGGATGCCGGGACGCAAATAGATGAGCAGTCTAACGGATTCAGTACCGATTGCGATCGAGATGAAATCGAAACCTGGATGCCATGTACTTACAATTGTGAACCTATGTGTCAATCTAAATCTACCTTTTCACCCCCAATTTACAACATGATTTTTTTTTCTTTCGAACAATAACAAAGACAAAGTAGAAAAGTAAGGAGTTTTTTTTTTGAGCAAAAGGTAGGAAAATTATTTCAAATTGTTTTTGATTCTAAAAGAAGGCATTCAACAGTAGACAAAGATGATATCCACCAGATCGTCGGTTACCCTAGAGCAATAGATGTTACAGGTCGTCCCTCACTAAACATTTTGAATGGTAATATAATGTTTTTTTTCATACTAGAGTTAGTTTGTTGGATAGTTCAGATTCGGAAAAGGAACAGGAAGCATTATCTAAATGTAAAAGTTCGAACACGTGGTCGTAGCAACAATGGAATATCTATTGGATGAAATAATTGAGATATTCCTGAATACCTGATCAACAGTCGGCAAGGAAGATGACAAACAGATATGTAGTATGACAAACTGATGTGGAAGATGATGTTAAAAGATGATGTTAAGCTGGTCACAACAAATTATTGTACAACAACAAGTTGCTGGATGCTCAGTGAAGAAACCATTGATGAAGGATGAACCTTCACTGCGTGTGATGCATAGGCGGTTTTTGCAACCCCCACAAAGACACGTGATATGGTGTTGCTATCGCAAGTAGTCACGAATGAGGGTTTGCCCCTGAGTTCGTCTACACAATTTATAATATTACATTTACCTACATCTTCAAGAAATCGAGTTCGGATCATCTGATCATTGTTTTTCTTGTTGATGAATTATATGACAGAAAAAGCTTTGATTAATCAACACTTCTACTTACTACGTTAAAGGAGCGATCATGAAGTTATAGATACAACAAAGAAGGCACAACTAATCCAGGGATATTATTAGCAGGGAGATCATGAGAAAGATGAAGACGTGCTAAAGCAATGCTGGTTTCCGATCTGAAGTCCCAGGCTGGCGCTGCCTACTCAGCTGGCAGATTCCGTGAGGCGATATCGCTGTACCAATCCTGCATAAAAGAACAACTACGTGGACGTCCAGATCTTGAAGAAGATCCTACTGAACAAGACCTTCCATTATCAGGACGAGACCAAGAGCATCTTCTTCTTGCACAATGCTATGGAAATTTGGCACAGTGCTACATAAAAACCGAGGAGTATCAGGACGTCCTCTTGCTCTGTGACTTGGTGACAGAACGACTCGAGAAGATTGAGAAAAGTAATTGTGAGGAGCAGGATTCGAGAAAAGCATACTTTTATGGAAGATTTTTATGTGTAATGGTTTACTTTAGTGATCGCATGCTTACTACACATGCAGTGAATTGGACGCGAGTCTTTCGGTGTTCCTCTTCTAACTCCCACAGTTGCTCAAGAAAAATCTCTATCGTCGCGTGATCGCTTTGAAGAAAACCAAGAACTTTGGCGAAGCACGAGAAACGGTGGCGCGATTACTGGAGTTGGATCCTGAGAATGCAGCGGCAAAACAGTTAAAACGTGAATTGGCACAAGCACCACTGAAGCGGAAAACGGGGAATAAAGGTGATGAAGAGCATCAATCAGAGAATCCTCAAATAAAGCAAGAAAGTGTAGGAGCATCTTCCCCTACTTCAAATCGCAAACATAATACTGTAGCAGCTTGTTCTTCTTCTTCTTCTTCGTCCTCCTCCTCTTCCTCCTCCTCCTCTTCAAAACAAGCATTCGATATTGACGCACACATAGCTGGTGGAGTGAGGAGCAGTGGGCTCTCATCAACAACGACTTCTACTAAAATGAGAAGAGCAACAACAACGAGGACGAGGGCAGAGGGGAAACAAAACAAGACAACGAAAGCAAATTCTGGAGTAGAGGCAAATACATATTGTAATAGTGCATCAATGAGAATAGCGCCCGAAGATGAGATCGGTGCACTTGAAGAAGCCTTTCTTCGGGTAAGAAAAGCAGAACGACAAGAGCAGGCTACTGCTGCTGGGAGTGGTGGTAGTGGTACTGGTGTTAGTGTAGATCCAGATATCGACATCAAGAATTCTCGTCTCATACCGGAGAATGAAAGCAACAGGAGAACAAACATCATGTCGTCTGCATCTTCTAGTAAAGCAGCTTCTCATCTCAAGATCATAGCTCAAGACCTCTCCACGACCTACAATCTTCTCCAAGAAGAGAAGCCTGTAATACCTGGCTCAGACACACGTCTTGTTCGCATTGCCGAGGATAGCTGCAAAGGTGGCAACCGTGCTTGGAGGCGTGCTCATAATAAGGTTGAAGATCTTGCCAAGGATTCGCTAGCGAGACCGCCAAGATCTGCGAGGATGCTGTTTGAGTCTAGCCTTTATGGTTGGATGTTTCTCACTATAATGCTCGTTGGTAGAGGTCATACATTTACAACTTTTCTTTGTGTGTACTACAACTCTGTCATCAACCTCTAATTCCTTCTCCATTCTAATCTCTTCTACATACCATGCACTTTATTCGACGGCTCACAAAAACCATGGTGGGAATCCAACGTGCAACCGGCTTACGACGGTGCCCTTTACGACACGCTAACAAATGGGGGAGCAAAATATGTTAAGGCTTCGAACATGCTGTCTCCTTGTACTACTTCTAGACCTGGAATGTGGTTCTCATCTAGGTTGGCATCTTGGGGAGATTTTCATCATCTCCTCTACATGTTGTACATCTTGATTCTCTGCAAGTGACTTGCAGATGTCTTCCCAAGACATGGAAGAGTTTGAAGCCTGTCAACTCATTCGATACGGACTCGATAGCTGAAAAATGTAGCAGGACACCAGTCAAATTAGTAATAAGAATCACTCTCAAGAACATTCAAATCAAATGATGAAAAACCAGTATGATGAAAAACTTTCACGAAAACCAAGTCGTGGCTGCTCTAATTCTTGAACAGAAACATGATGGAATCAAATACGGGAGGTGCTTTCTTGATCTCCTCTGAAACTTCAGACTCTGATGAAGAGTCCCCAGAAGATGAACGATTTTCCGAAGACAATTTAATGCTGTTGAAGATACGAAGACAAACGAAATGAATGAAATAGAATGGAGGTGGATAAAAGTGGCGTTTTGTTTGAGGTACGGCGCGTAAGTTTTGCTTTTGCTTTTCTGGTGAAAGAATTCATGATGTTCTCTTTCTCTCTGTCATTGACATACCTCATCAATCCATGTTGATCTGAAACGTTGCACAAAAATTCAGATCATCTTTACATCAACATGACAACTGGGTTGATCTAAACACGATACTTACTGATGATGAGTGTGATCATGCGATTTGGGTCTGGACGAGCTGACTGGGGTGTGCTCCATTACGTCTACATGAAAGTAGACTATCTTACTCAAAGACACGCTGTTGTTAAATCCCCACACTGTCATTTCGCCAGGCGAGGACATTTCCAAATTGTGATTTTTATCCTCCTCCCCGAGGATGAATCCTACGCGTACTTACACCTCCTCTGTCGTGATGTCGATTTTGATTTCATGAAGGCCCTGCTAAGGTAGTTTACGGTAAAGGTACAACTAGTAAAAAAAGGAGCATCTAGTACTCTTCACAAACGATGGACGTCGCTGCTTTGCAGGGGATCCGGCTGCAGCGCGCGCGCGCAGCTGGCTGGACGCAGTCCGCCACTGCAGGCGGAGGATGGCAATGGTTTCATCCAGGGACTGGGCAGACATTACATTCTACCTTAGATCCTCTTGCTTTTTCCACACAGAATACCTTGGGAGGAGCGCTTCCGGGAGGCATCAGTACACCAATGGTGCCAGTTATGGTAGTCCCAGTAGTTCCCGGGATGGTTGGAGTCCCAGTTGGAGTTGCGAGTGTCATCCCTCCTTCTTCTGGAGTTGCGAGTGTAGGGTCTGGAGTTGCGAGTGTAGGGTCTGGAGTTGCGAGTGTAGGTTCTGGAGCAGCCAGTACGTTTGTGATGCCTGGCCAACTTCATCCTACGCAAAAGAAGTCCACGAACCCAGCATCTTCTGCCGCTGGCTTGATCGAGAAGAAGCGAAAAGAGCTGTTGCAAAAACAGCAGGAGAAGGAAGAAGCAGAACGACTTGCTCGGTTGCCACCTGCCTTGCGTAAACGACTGGAAGCTAGAGGTGTGATCAAAAAGAAAGTTGCTGCCACGTCGACAGCTTCAGAAGCAGATGGAGGTGATAGCAAAGGAGGTGATGAAATTGATGGCGATGGCATAGGGAGTGCCAAGCCAGCTGCACCAGCGGCAGCCGTTCCGCCACCAATGCGACCCCCACCACCACCTAAAAAGCCGGCTGGACCTGCAGCGAGTGTCCCTGGGCCTGCTCCGTCACCAAAAGGAGCAATGCCACCACCGTCTTTACCGGCAAAGAAGACTTCCGCAGAAGGAGCAAATAAGCAAGATAGTCATAGTTCAGCAGCTTCAACTTCCACGAGTACGAACCCGTTCAATCCAGTGAAGAAAAACCTTTTCGCCCTAGACGAAGTCATGCACTTACCGCCTTCGTCGGGAATAGCTTCAGGAATGGCTTCTTCAAGTGGGATTAGTTCCGTAGGTCTTGGAGGCGCTTACCCAGAATCCTACTCAGCCAAAGCAGCTAGCGTTTTTGGCGCACAGCATCTAGAAGATTTACCACTTCCGCGCTGTTGGCAAAAATGCAAGTATGGTGGAAGAACCTTCTTTTGGCATCCATTGACGGGTGAAAGAACGTACAAACATCCTGGAGAACAAGCTGGTAGTGGTGGAGCTGGTGGGGAACAAGATGACGATGGTGGCGGTGCTAACTCCAACAACAAGATGGACAAGAATATCGTAGGAGGTCGTAAAATCTTCGCTTTTGAGGAGATGATCAAGGTGACAGAAGGAGATTTAGGCCGCTTGATTGGTAAAAACGGAGGAAACCTGAAACTGCTGAAGTGCAGTTTGGGAGAGGATGAGTCGCAGATCTTGTGTCCTAAGAAGGGCAGTAAGCCGGATTCGAAAGCCTTGAATGGGAGACCTACGTTTACGGTGAAACTGCAAGGGTGCAGTGAAGGAATAGCGAAGAAGGTACAACTTCTAAGGACTTCTGCAATGTCGTTTTGTTGTTGCGTAGAAGATGTTCGTTCTTCTTCGATTGTTGAAGATTTTAGTTCTTGATTTCCACTTGTTGCACTTTGTTCAAGGTAAGTCAGTGCCTCACGAAACTCTTGTACAACTCGTCCTCATCGTAGTACTCGTCCTCATGCATCGGCCACGACATGAATTAACGAAACTCTCTCCTCCTTCACCAAACCTCACTCTCCTCCTTCACCAAACCTCACTCTCCTCCTTCACCAAACCTCACTCTCCTCCTTCACCAAACCTCACTCTCCTCCTTCACCAAACGGCTCAGGGCAAGCGTGCGGTGGATCTGTTCCTGGCTTCTCAAAAACCCATGGCCGAATGCATCAGAGAAGCTGGTCTTACTGTGAAGAAGCCACCTAATCCTAACAAGGGAGACGACGGATCAGGAGGTGGACAAGGTCCAGGGGGTCCAGGCCCGTCTGGTGGAGTGAAGAGACCTTTAAATCAAATTGCTCTGAACAACGATGGAAGTGGAACCCAAGGAGGATCATCTGCAGCTGGCGCTGCTGGAGCATATCATGATCCCTACGATAGTGCAGGAGCATGGGCTAAAAGGATGAAACCTTCTGCAGCTTCTAGCTCCAAGGACAAGCTCGATATGATGGATCCCTCGTCATATTCAGACGCGCCTTTAGGAGGTTGGGGTGCCGGGCTGAAGACAACAGCTCATGGGGATGATGTGGATTTTCAACAGTATAGATGATGTGATGAAGTTTGTTCCTTGAGCTTACGACACTATCCACCACCCGAACTTCGAAGGTGAAAACACCTGAATACATTTGTTCCCAAACGTCCCAAATATTCCCTACAGTCCCACCCTCAACCCGACGCAAAATAAGAGGACACAATAAATTTTACTAAATGTCGTATGATCTAACCAAAACATAAAGTTAAAGCTTTGACAAGAGTCGCCAACTTGCGTACCAGCCAGGCATCAGTAGGTGTCAGTCTCTCTGCGAGGAATGTCTTGTGTCCACCAGAAGGATGAAGAGGAGGATCCTGAGACGCACGTCGCTTCACACCGATGAATGTCGCACGACAAGTCGCCCGAATCAAAGACACGATTTCGGTTTGAGAAAAAACCAAACTCTTTTTGTTTTTCGACTCAGCGAGAGATTAACCTGAGTCTGTTTTTTTGAACATGAAACAAGTCGTGGTCGGTTTTTCTGTATTTATGATGTCATTCTTGAAGCAAGGGCTACCCAGAAGTTCAAGGAATTCTGTGAAATTAATGGTCCTTTTTTATCGGCTACAATGTGCGCTGCTTATCCATCGGCTAGAGAGTCATGGGCGAATTGGGTCAGTACAAATACTAGCTAAATAGATTACGCATCTTAATATAGGCTTATCCATGCTCCTCCATCGCAACATATTGCTACTCACACCAAAAACATATCCTCTTCCTTCATACGAGCTTCATACCAAAGAAATACCTGTCAATCATTAATAGCTGTAGCCTTAGGGCGCAAGGAGAACGGGGGCGCTTCGGATAAAAAATGGTTTGACTTTGTTCCTTGCCAAACCGCCTGTGCCTGAGCGCAGTACTTCATAGTGTAAAAGCCTTGTACTCAAGTAACGAATTTCAATGTTAATTACTCTTACTCGTGCAAGTAGATGTAGAAACTGAAATGGATAATGTCCACGAACCGATATTGAAATGGATAATGTCCAGCAACCAATATTAAGTATGATACGGTCTTTCAATCAGTGTTATTCTGGGGCAAAACAAAGCATTATAAAATATATGTGCAGCCGGCTTGTTTTCCTCTTTCTATGTAATTTTAGATTATCCTTTCTTGCAATATAATATATGCAGCTATATTAATGATCAGTCGGAGCAGATGTCTAACTGTTGCTGTGTTGTTATTCTTGTGAGGGTGAGGACCGACAGCTTCGTCCTATCTACTTTCTAGTCACTTGAAGGACGCACACTCAACATCGTGGTCCAACTTTTTGATTCTCAGAAGTAAGTAACGAAAACTCATGCTCGTCCACAAGTAGAAGTTGTCTAAACGTTCTTAACAAGGTGGCAACTAAAATCTTAGCTCTATGATCATATGCTCCCCTTTATCCATCGCGAGATTTGAATTGATAATCTTCAGGAAGAATCCATATGACAACTAGAATGCTCCTGAAATTATGATCTTATGCTGCGTGTGCTGTAGCAAGTACAGGTAAACAAGGAAGTACGCACTATTTCATGTCTGCCAGTTTTCCTGGTAGGCCCACACCTAACCTAACCTTATACATAGATACAAGTACATTTTTTAAAAAGCAAGAACCGATCCTTTGCCGAAGCGGAGCCGACATACCAGGAAAAGATGGAGAACAGCAGCAGAAGTTCTCTTTCGCCGCGTACTGCGGAGCGGCCTACGGCAGAAGAAGTACAAGTGCACCTGCAAGAAACAATTTCAGCCTCGACGCTCCTTGCTAGTACAGCTGGAACCGGGGAGCGGGAAGGCGATAATGATATACGTGAAGGTGCGGAAGGAACTACTTCTACTACACTAAGTGCAACAAGTGTCGAGGATACAACTCAAAATCAAACATCTTCAGCGAGCAATAAAGTCAAACATCTTCAGGCTATTTTTTCAGCGCCAGAGCTGTCATCCGCAGGGGATTCAGATGGCGACCTGGCGTTGGCTTCTCTATCTGATTCTTACCGTGGACACATTCCGGCAAAAGTTAAGGATGATAAGGGACCTCCTACGTACAGTTCTTTACCATTTTCTTGTACTAGCTTCTAGAACTGGGGGCTATAATGGGCCAAGAAGAGGTCGGAAGCGACCTCTTGTTGAGTTGCAAGATCATGTAACGGCAACGGAACACTATGATTCGGTACAACATTCGGCGCCATGGCCATTACAATAATAAATCTGCGCTACTCTATCCTTTATCTACATTCATTTCTTTTACTTTTCCTAGTTAGATTGGCTCCACCCATAGTATAAAGATAATCAAAAACTGCATGTGCATCTCGTCCCCTTTCTAAGGATAATATTAATCTTGCACAAAAACTGCATGTGCATCTCGTCCCCTTTCTAAGGATAAAAGCATCCAGATTCAACAAGATCGTGGCTACAACGGTTATATCTTTCGTCCCTCAGCAGGCCACTATCAACAGCTTTTTGCGGCAAGGTCTCCATCCACGGTGTTTCGTGGTTTGAGTGCTATACCAGAAGCAGCAGAAGTGTCGAGCAGTGATGCGAATAGTCAGCAGCGAGGTTCGCAGTTTTCGAGCTTACAACCAAATGTGGTCATAGGGGGTCCTACTCCGAGTGAAGATGGTCTGAGCCTGGATTCCATGAGTACAACAAGTTATGTAGGATCTTGGATGGATGAGGATTTTTCATAATTTTCTCTCCGAACAACAAGGGTCTTCTCCTCAAGACTCCGCGTTTTCTGTCTGTGAGATTGATTTTAGATCTTTCACGTTCACCGGGAAGTAGGGATCTAGACAGAGGCCACTCCTGAGAATCCATCCCTCGTCTCCGCATTCCTCCAACACCCTGTCCAGCGACTCACCCGTACGACAAGCTGTGTGCCATTTCCGAGGTCAGTTCCAGCAAGACATTTTGAGGAAGATAGACGTCGATTGTTGGAAAAACTACCACCAAGTAAACCGAAACGGAGTCTGGATGACGAGCAGCAGGGTTCGACGTCAGGGCATGGAGGTAGTGCTGAGAAGAAATCGGACAAATTCCTAGTACGTGGTCTACATTTTGGTCGCCGAAGTAGGAGACGACGGCAACTTGTATCAGGACCAGCAACGCTTCGAATGCAGCAAGAAGGGAGTACCGACAACACGGCATCAGAAGACGGTGTAGCGCCCAGGTCGTCCAAAGCTAAAGCAGGAAAACGGCTAGAGCAAGACCCGGGTGACGAAGGTGATGATGAAGAAGACATGGCGAACATATTGGCGGAAGTGAAACCGGGATGGAAAGAAAAAGTCAACAATGATCAACAAGGACCACCTGGTGTGACTACGTCGAGTAAAGAGAAACAATGCGACAAGGATGTGAACACCAGTGAAGGGAAACAAGGCGACAAGGATGTGAACACCAGTGAAGAGAAAAACACCAATGAAAGGAGCTCTCCATCTACTTCGAGAGGACCTATCACAACCTCCGTAGTTTCTATGAACCAAAAGTTGTCAGCACAAACTGGAGGTGGGCAGCAAGATAGAATGTGCGGCGGTGACGTGGATTTACTAGACGGACAGACAGAGGATGACCAGCAGACCTCCGACCGAATTCACCAAGAAAGTACAACTAATATTAAGGCTTCCCCTAATCCATCTCGATCTCATGAAGCATCCTAGCGAGGCTTTTCAAGGGGAAAAGGATCCTGGGATGAAACTCAAGATGGATATATATGTGTGAGCTCTAATTATAATAGTGGCGAAAGAGTAGAAATGCTTGCTCGTGATAGTATGCCGAAAAATCGATCTCGACTCAACAACAAGAGTAGACCACCACCGACGACTACGCAAAGCTCAGATAAAGCATCTAGTGACGACGATTCTTATTTTAGAGCCCGTCTAGGCGGTCCGCGAGGACATCACGCGAATATACCGGTCGCCAAGGAACGTCTTGATGCAGCAGAAGAGATTATCACATCTCCGTTGTTGCTGAAGCGACCGCATAACTCAGGCGTAGAAGTTGCTGGAACTGTATCCAAAGAGAGCGCAGTTTTATGACGGAGTTCATTAACAGGAGCCACATCATGTGATGAAGCTGGTAGTTCTTGTAAGCATATTTTCCTAGTTCAACACTTGATGATCAAAGTAAGTATGTAGTGCTGGACTTCCTAAAGATCGAAGAATGATACAGGAGATCATGATCTGTTTCTAATGCCTAACGCACAAGGTGGACGTGGAGCTTCTCAAGCCTTGCCGCCCCTTATGGCCCTTACCAGCAAGATGCGAAGTGTGTCCGACTCCTTATCCGCTGCTTTCACCAACCTAGCCGTGGAACAGTCTGCCTGGTGGAGCCCAACTGGGGAAGCCGTTCGCGCCAGGAGCAATACCTTAGATGACCTCCAAGAGATAGAGATGGAGACACAGCACGGAGGTCACGGGCTGAATGCTGCACAGATCGAGCAGGCAAAGGATGACTTGTTACTCGATGATGAGGACTTGGCACGAAGTTTGGTGAATAATCAAGAAGCGATACTGGTTCCGGGCATTGTTCCCTCAACGTCAATGCTACCTGCTACGTCATCCACGGCAGACAAGAAAAGTGCTGTTATGATCTTGTCGTTTAAAAGTAACTTTTATGCATGAGCGGTCTAACTGCATATCTATGCATTCTCATAAGTAGATACATAGGAGCCTGTGCCTGTAACCTTTGCACCTCCTGCTCTAACATTTCGGATAGCATTCTTGGTGGATCGGAATTCAAACGGACGAATAAGGCGTCAACACTGAGAAAAGTCCTAAAGCAGGTAACGAACGAGAACGACCATGCTCTAGACTGCATGGCGTCGACAACCAATCAAGCAACCAGCGCTGCAAGCGGTTCTGCTAAGGCAAAGAAAAAATGAGGCTCGCAACAGGGCTCACAACAAGATCTAGATTACTTTTAGAGTCTAGTAATTGCAAGTTTTTCCACAATGAATCTGATGAGCCCTCGTCTTCTAAGAACCTCCAGCAATCTACTAGTGGCCGGCTCTTCACGTCTACAACCAATTCTGTTGCGGCTAGGCGCCAACGATTGGGGAGTACAGGATGCGCAGCTCTATACCGCGAATACGGTTTCAACGCGCCTCCGGCTGGCAGAACAGCACCACGCAGTATTGTGTCGTCGAACCTGGAACGTAGCAGCAGTACTGGAACAGCAAGTTCTGCGACACCCCAACCGGTGATGGGTGCGGGATCTCCTAGTGGTCAACAAGATAGTGGTGGACAGCATC